AGAATTATTGAAATTTTTCATTTGATTTCTTCCCTCTTTTTTTCTATTTTGCTATACCAAACGAAGACAACTGCGTAATTTTTCTGTGTACGTCCGAATCCTAAATTTTACGGTTTATATGATAATAGCTCCGGTTTATTAGAAGCTTATTTGAGTTTCAGTACATCAAACTTTAGCTTTCTCGAAAAAAGCTATTCTAGTAAAAACATCTTATTAATAGTGAAGATTTTTGTACGACTCTCAGTTACTAAAATACCTTGTTCAACTACGTGATGCTTTTGAAAACGACACAGACCCTCCATCTTTTGTTTTTGAAAGAACTTATTTATTCGATCCTTTTATCATAACGTCTAAGATTCTTTCCGAAAAATAGAATGAGTTCAGCCTCTCCAAATCTTCATTATTCAAATTTAGGGGAGGCTTGAGCCTCCCGAAGCCTAATGGTTCCGCCGCCTATGGCTTGGAGTATACTGAAGAATGCAATTTCCACTTTTTCTTCCCTGCTGAACCATCACTCCATTAGATGCTCAGTTTCCAAAAATTTCTTTATATAAGAGCATATCTGCTCAAATATACCTGTTTTTCTTTGTATTACACGACTTATTTGTAGATGATGGGTCATAGAATTTTAAGTTGCTCTTTTCAAAATGCTGATCAAAACCTACTGAACTTAAAAATTTCATAAGAAATACTTTGAAAAAGATAGTCATGTGTATGATCACCACGAAAATCTTACCCTTTCGCTCTGGCTATCCATTTCCTGGACGTTCTTTACCAATAGTCTCTTTGTCCTTCACGAGAAAACACATTATGAACTCATGTTCTGAAGCAATACAAACTTTGTTCTTCAATTAAAGATAACACATTTAAAAATTTCACTTCTTGTTTATACATCAATCTGAAGAATATACGATCAATAATGCTTTTTTTTCTGTCTCCTTCTATTGTTATTGCATAAAAATAACCGTATGAAATCATAAAAGAAAAAGAAAAAAAAAGAAGAACAACAACAACAACAGATATACTACATCCACTTTTAATAAACGCATCCATACATTGTTTTTTTTCTTCAACGAATGAATGTAGAATAGACATGAATACATACAGATATATTTTGTTTATGTTTTTCGAATATGCATATACATAGAGGAGACTATCCACACACGCACACACACAAAGGCTCGAACAATGAAAAAGAAAAAGAAGAAAAGAAATTTACAATTTAAGTTCTATTTTTATGTATTAATAAAGTCAAGATGATGTTTTTGTCGATCGTTGATTTATAAGTTTTTCTACTTCTTGTAACTTTTTTAATATTTTTTGTTTTTCTTTCTTTTTACCTAAACGAAAACAAAAATAAAATTAAACAAAAAATTTTAGTTAAATAAAAAATACAAACAAGAATCAGAATTTTCTGCATTATTTGCATCAGTTGATGATTTATGAGAATCAACTAAAATAAACAAAAAACAAGTAATTTTTTAGAAAATATTTATCATATATATTTATACTATTTAATTTTGTCTTTTTTGTTGTACTGGCTGAACCTGTTGATGATGATGTATCACGTCGTTTCTTTATAATAAAACAAAAAAAAAAATTTCTTTAAAATAAATAATAAATTTGTTTTTCTTTGTTTTACTTTAGCAGATGTTAATGATGATTCTTTAGTTTTTGATGATTCACGATTAATAGAATCATTTTTTGATTTTGTATTTGTATTTTTACTACCACCACCTGATGATGAAGATAATTGTCGATTAATTGTTTTTGTTGTATGACTACTACTACTAGTACTACCAACTGTTGTTTTACCACCACCAGAAGCTAAGTAAAAAGACAATATTGAAAGTTTATAAATCTATTGGATATATCATCTGAAACTTCATGCAAGCTAATCAAGCTTTTAACTTCTTATTGGTTGTCGTTAGTGTGTTTATAAATCCAATATGAGTAGAATAAAACTTCCAATAAAATAGTATGTCTGTTAGATATAACTGTTAAAGACTGTCTACTAGTAACGTGATCAATGAAAAGGTTTTAGAAAGATTGAGCTCCCCCTCTGGTTACACTACTTCTGTCTATAGATCCAACTAAATCTAACCCATAGTTTTGTGTTTGTTATTGATGTTCCAATATTCTCTTTTAATCCTAGTGTGTATATAGCGACATATTTATGACTATGGAATATTTTCATTTATGTGTTCAATTAAAGTTATAAATAGCCGTCATGAAGGAGCATATCAATGGATATAATCTATGATGTGAAAGTCTTGACACAAAATATTTACTTATTTTTCCATCATATAAAGATAACTAGTTAGAGCAAGAAGCAATTACTTATATTTTCTGCGTATGTGTTTAGAATTTTCTTCTGAAGTTAGAGTGAATAGCTATCATGAAATTGCTTCGAACAGTTCAGAATTCGAAACATTTTTTATTGTTCACGAACAAACATTTTCAAGTCTTCATTCTCGAAATATTGAAATTTAACTGGTTTTGTTTTTCAACAGAAAGTTGGGATCACATGAAAAAGCGACTTTAGACTATGAACTTGGTACATGCAAAGTTCTTATTTGAAATTAGTTGATTGTGCAACTACTGTTTCTTTTCTAGAAATATAAATATATGAACAAAGATTAGCTGCTATGCATGAGAACATTGCGAATATTGAATATCTTAGCATAAGAGATACTAGAAAAGTTCCAACTTGTTTAATCAACTAATTTCATTGAGAACTTTATTTACGCAAAGTTTGAAGTCGAAACTTAAAAGTCAATTTTCATGCGACCACAATATTTTGTTGAAAAGAAAACCAGTAAAATTCCGATATCTCAAGAACGAAGGCTCAAAAAAACCAAGCCATTCTAGACTTTTCTAATACTCATCAAATAAATATCGTCTCTATCGAAAATCGATTTGACATCTAGAATAGATTGCTCATTAGTGTTTTTTTTATCTTGCGTCATAGACTTTAAAACTGACATATTTTTAAAACAGCCATTGCTGATTTGCAGAGAAACTAGTCGTTTAGTGGAATCGCGTAGATGAGATTTTGCTTAGAAAAATTGACTAATAGTTATTCAATCTTTTTCCACAAAGAAAATATATATGAAAAGAGCAAAAAATTCTGATTGTAACTAATCATTGACGGAAAAAAAACGAAGTAAATATTTTTTGCCAATACTTTCGCGTCATAGATTATTCGAAAATGTTAAAGATTGATTTGAATAAAAATCTACCTGTTTTTGTTTTTGTTGATGTTCGCATATCATTCTCTGAACTTGAACTCTCCGATGATGTACTAGATGATCGATGTGTTATTCGATTAGTATCACTATCTGATGATGATGATGAACTTGTACTATCCGATCGACTAAATTAAAATGAAAGTAACAAAAAATAAAAATAATTTTTTTTTGGAAAAAAAAAAAGATATTTTTTTTCTACCTAGGATTTTCTTTTCTTATTTGTTTTTTAATATTTATATCCGAATCTTTTCCATGTTGATCTTTTGAATGATTATTAACCATTGAATTACTAGTATTACTACTTTTTTCTGCCTTTTTTAATGTATGACTTGATATTTGTCGACCAGGAAGAAATTTATTTGCTGCTGCTGTTGTTGTTGTTGTTGGTGATACTAATTTTTTATTACTATTTGATTTTTTTTCATTACCATTTTTAACCATTCTATTTGACATAAAAAAATTATTTAAAATTTAATTAATATCTTAGTTTTTTGTTCTTATAAAATAAAAAAGAAAAAACAAGCAAATAAAATAAAGTACTCGGATGATTTTGTTGTTGTTGTTGGTTTTGTTGCACGTGTTACCGATGGTGAACGACGCTTTGGTCTACTTCTCGATCTCGATCTAAACCGTAACTCGAATGTAATAATAAATTATATGCAAAAAAAGAAAAATATATATATATATATAATCATGCAAGAACTAAACAAACATTTATTAATAAGCTATTAAACTTGCCTTGATCGACTTGATGATGAAGTTGAATGAGAACGTGAATGAGATGATCGAGATGTACTAAACAAATAAAAATTTTCCGTAAGATTTTTTGAGAAATGATAATAATTCCAAACAAAGAAAGAAATAATATCATTACCTAGATGATGTAGCCGATGATGACGATGAATAGGATCGTTCTCGACCACCACCTGATGAACGATGATTACCACTACCATGATTTCTTGATCTAAGAAACATATTAATTGATTGTTTTATAGTAAGAAAATTTGAATCATTTCTTATTTAACCATTACAAGACGAATGAATATTTTTCCTATAGTGTTCTGTACTGAGTGAGAATAAATACGAAATAAAAACTTTGCATCAAGACTAGCGTGAGAAGGTTCTTAAGTAATAAATCGGTTTCGAACTAGAACTATATTCGATCGATAGGATCTAGTAAGTAAATATGCATTTTGAATTTTGATCTGAAACTTTACCCATATAAAAGCATCGATTAGACTAGGTCGTAGGAAAATTTTCAGAGTTTTTTTTGGCTATCTCTTTGAGATATAAATTTTTTTAAATACAAGCATTTTGCTATGATCATTGTGAAAAACATAGATACTTTGAAAGATTTATTTCTGGGAGACTTGCTCGAAAAAAATTTGAAGCCTTTTTTTTTTCTACCAGCTACTCTAATGGTCGCCTTTATGTGAACAACATTTTCGAGTTTAAAATTCGCTAAAAATTCGATATCTCGATAAGAAAGACCCAACTGATCGAAACACTCTAGAGTATTTACGTATTCACTATATCCTATCGATTGAATATAGTTCCAGTTCAAAACCGATTTATCACTTGGGAAAAGATTTCTTCATTAGTCTTAATATAAAATTCTTATTTAGTGTTTATTCACTTCCGTTAAAGTATCCAATACAGGGCATTAGTTTCGTATGATAACCAAAAGAGAATCAATGTTCACACAAGAATTAAAGAGATATGTGTGTAAGCTGAATAACTCGACAATGGTAATAGCTAGTGATTTGCAATCAAAGCAGGACAACTTTGGACATGGCTTTGTCTAATACTATACAAAACAAAATTATTTTAAATTTCAGAATGTGACATCCTCTTCCTCTCATCGCTGATTTTAAAAACTGTTCGCGTAGCGTCTCTCTTTTTACAAAAACGTTCTAAAACAATTCGATGAAATTTCATCTCTGTTGTTTATTCTATTGAATACTTTCGAAAAAGAAATATTTCTTAAAATACCTATCCCATGGATCTTGCCAATCATCTCCTCGGCGACTGCTATATGGATTAAAATGTAATTGAGTATCATTATTATGATGTGAACCGGATGTATACTGTTGCTGTGATAAATTTCGTTTATAAGATGATGATGATGAATCATCTTTTTTTGATGTTGATTTGCTAATAAAAAAAAAAAAAAAAATATTGAAAATAATTTTCTTTTTTTGCTCATTCAATAAACGTCTTACCTATGTTTTGTTGATGAATTTTCTTTGCGAATTCGATTATCATTTCGTGTCTCGGCATAATCATCTGAATGACGCAAACGACGATCAGAATGATCATTTGTGGATGATGTATTATTATTATGATTATTATTATTATTATTATTATTATTTCGAGCATTATTGTTATTATTTCGATGATGATTATTATTATAATGAGAATTACCAGATGAACCTGTATACATATATGGATGATATCGATCGGAATAAGTACGTTGATCAGCATAATTTGATCCAGGTAAATTATTCAGATCATAATCAATTGAAGATGGTCTATAAAATAAAAGATATTTTTTTCAAGAAAAGTTATATGAAAAAAAAAAGAATTTTACCGATCAATATTTAAAATATTATCATCTCCATCTTTGTCATCCTGTGCATCACGTATTGTTAAATTAAATTTTTTATCATTAAAATCTTTATCTTGTTGTTTACGTCGCATGGATTGTTCACGAAGCTAAATGTCGAAAGAAAAAATAAATTTCAATATTAGAACGAATATTCAAATGCAAACTGTTTTAGCTGAACGTAATCCACGTTCCCATGCTGATTCTGTACCAGTTGGTGGCACTACTAATGGTATACCAGATGGTTGTGTTGCACCACGAAGAACTGGATTAGGAAAAAATTGAGATGTCTAAAATAAACAATAGAGAAATTTTTTATTTCAAATATACAGATCTATATAAATATTCAATAGTAGAGATGTACGAGAGCAAAATTTAAAGATTTGTCAGAACTACAAGAAAAAATTGTCCCAACCAGATCTGAAAATTATAGTTGAATATTTTATCATTTTAATCAAATCATCTTATCAATCAAAACACAATGCAAGAGAAATAATAAAAAGAAGTGCCTTGTCGTCGAATAAACTTTTGAATAGTTTTCTCTAGATTGAAATCTAAAGAACTGAAATAATCAGAATCGAGGTTAGATCAGACTTACTGAAGCCATATCCAGGACCAAAAGAACTTCTTCCCACACACCTCTATTCAATCAATATGATTACGCCTAGGTTTTTTTCTCTAATCTCCACTATATCTACTATTCATTAAGAAAATGATATATTCAAATTTAGCAAACAATGGATTCGATATGATTATCTCATAAATTAAAAACTCTCATCAATAACAAGACATGGGATCTCACTATTAATTGATAGTGATATTACTAGTCTTATTTTCAAAGAATAGAAAAGAAGTCATCTTTACAGTAGTTGTTGCTTGTGGTGAGATCCATGCATTATTTGTTGTTGTTTGTGGTATAGGAATACCAGTTGGAACTGGTGGTGAAATTTCATTATTTATTGATGACAAAGCATCAATAGATGGTCCACTTGAGTCTAAATAAACAATATGATTAAAAAAAAAAGTTATCATAAAAAAATCTTATACTTTTTGTTGAATCATTATTTGGATGAATAAATTTACAATTAGGTCCCCAATGACAACGACCTTGAAGAAAAAATCGACAATGAACTTTAGCTTGTGGTGATGATGATATATTTGTATTTATTCGATTACGATTTTGTTCTGATGTTTGATCATCAGTAAATGGTGTTCGATTTTTTGATGTACTTGGATCATGAATTTCACCATCTTCTAGATCAGCTTCATCCTTTGAAAGAAAAATATTTATTTATTAATTTAAGCTATTAATAATACTTACTACTTCTCCTTCATCACTTGCTGCTGCTGAATTATCTATCATTGATGATGAAGTATTATTATTATTATTATTATTTATTTCTTGTGGTTTATTTAATGGTTTATCTTCTTCATCCTGTAAAATTAAAAAATTAAGTTTTGGGAAAATAATTTCCATTAGTTTTTACTTGAATATTTATTGATGTTTTTGTTTCATCATTTATTTGTTTCACCGGATTATTAATTTGTTCTAATTCATGATTATCTTCTAATTTACCTGGTGAATGATTATCATCAATATCTTCATAATCTAAATTTTCCGGATCATTTATATCTGTACTTGTAGGTGTTGTTTGTGAACGACTACGGTCTTTCATACGTAATTTTGTTGTTATTGTTCCTTTAGATATTGATTGATTTCGTTCATCAGTTGTATTTTCAGTATCCATTGAAATTTTATCAATAGACAATCAACTAGATATAAAAAAAAAAAAAAAATTTTTTTTTTTCTGAGATTCTTCTATTAACAACTTACCATCAATTCAAAAAAAGATAATATTTATTGTATAACCAACTTTGTTGTCTCTGAAAGAGGTGGGAAAAAAAACATGATAAAATATAAATTAAAAATTTTCATAATTTTCCTTATATGATTTACGAAAAAAACAAATATAATAGGAAAGACTATAGGTAAGAGGACAAATTTTCCTTTTTTTTTAATCGCAGAAGAATTTCATATATATATATATAGATCTAAGATGATGGACAGTTTACTTTGGTATTGATGATGATAATGATGTAGAGACGATTTTATTGACTGAAGAATAAATCGAAAGTCGATTAGAATGTTTAATGATGGAAATTGGATAGAAATTTATGAAACACAAGATAGGTAAAAGATAAAATATATGTTTACTAGAGAACAATGACATATCGTCGACGTCTAGATTCATTTTAATGTATCCATATACGGGACAGTATACACAAACAACGAGAAGAACTTTTTCTTTTTTCAATTCGTAATGCATTAATTGATTGAGAAGCCATTTATGAAATACAATATACCCAAATGGATGTTATGATAATATGAAATTCTAGTTATAGATGTCGCCGACTTATTATTTTTATATTTAATATATATTCAGATTTATTCTTGCAATATGAGAATGAAATTTGCTAATATAAAAAAAATTATCATATATGAGTTCTATGAATGGAAACCATTTGCTTAAAATTTTTTTGAATAAAGAAAAAAAAATAGATTTTAGTGACTGTGAAAACCTATTGTAATTTGCATTCTGATTAAAACAAAACTGTAACTATTGGAAATAATCCATTTTAATTTCGCAATAGGTCTTACATAAGTACAACTTTTCTAATTTTGATCCGATGAACTTAGAATGGAATCAATTAGTTGTAGTTGATATCGACTCGTTATTCGGGGGAAATTTTTCAAACATGAGAAATTTTCGAAAGTTTTTATGTCAGATTAAAAAAAAATTCGATTCAATTTCATAAATAACAAAAAGAAAGAGATTCTTCGTTCTAATCCGTTAATTATTCTTGAATATGTCAGTATGTAGAGATATGACCGAACTATTTTTCATTTCGATATCTATAAACAGATGCGATCCGGTAGTTTATACTCGAAGACAGGCATGCGCTTATGCCGGATGTCAGATCCAATTGTAGAACTCTATTTCGCAGACAAGATGATAGTCTATACCTTGTATATGCGAGGATTTCTTGTGTTACTTCAATTGAAGGACATTCTGTTCTATTCAGTTTCGAATACATAATTTAGAATATGAGAAATGTCGTTGTAAAAAATAAGTTCGGTGAGATCATGAAAATGTGAAATGGAAAATTTTGTATTTCTTGTCAAAACCTTCGTTTGGATTTATACTAAAGGAGTTCTTTCTCATACTTGCAAAAATGTATATCGTAGAAGTATGATTTCATATTATTACATATGATGGGCAATTAAAAATGAAGTGCTTGTTTGCAATATATCATCGATAGTTATACGAGTACTTATTTGTTGTTAAATTAAATACAGATAAAATAAAATTTATAGAACTCATAAAATATCAGTTCTCGTTTCAAATATGATTTTTGTAATTTTGATGAAAAGTTGAATGTCAACTCTAACAAAACACATCCTACTACGATTACATGTGCAGATTTGATACTTGGAGAGAGAGAGCCTAATTGTCTGCATTAATTATTAATTATGCACTGAAGTGTAGAGTCTCAATTGTACTTCATTTTCTGAGAAAACCGCACGTTGAACAGACTTTTTTAATTTCACGCAATATTTCATTGTTCACCAATTATGCTTATCATCTTTAAATATTGTAAAAAAGTGTAATGAATCAAAGACAATCATAGAATAAACTGCATGATAGTGGATGCATGATCAACAATCGATAGAGTTTTATTATCTTCTGCATATATGTAAATATATTAAACAACAGACTGTATAGCTAATATCTGTAGTAGTGTCCAAGTCTGTTTTGATCGCTCTGAATTGGACAAGTCGCTGACAAAATCAAGATAAATCAGTTTAAAAATTGAAGTTTATCCGTAGAATTCCTTTTTCTCTACTAATTGATAACGATATTAGAAACTTATGTATGTTTGAATATGATTAAGGATTGGCTCTCAATTCATTTGAATTAAATGATACCAAAAAGGTATTTTCATGACATGATTAATTATATGATCTCGATTTAGTTATTGAATTATCTAAATAATCAATCATTCATTCTCATCGACAACAAACACAATTTTCATTTATTTCGAAATAGTTTCAAGTTTTTATTGTAGACGAAAATTTCGAGAGGTGTGTAAAGACTAAGGAATAAGAACCTTTCGTCAACAACTCTCATAGTTTCATGATTATAGAAATAAAAAACAACAACAACAACAACACAATATCTACGTTATGTTTTGCTGTTACATCCAAATCAATGAAGAATTATGTGATTATGGAAAGCTGTTGCAGAAAATACATCACTTTGACTATAATGTGAATGGCGGAGCTGTTAGGAAATCTAACGATCAATTCTCGATTCGCCGAGAAATTAATATAAGTCTGTTGGTAAATTGTCAACAATTTGGGAATTCGTATTTCTTAGTTCATGAATATTGTTGAAATACAAAACAAGCCTTGGATGAAATCTATTATGCTTGTAATAATAAGACAATTTATGATGCAAAAATTGTTTGTTGACGATTAATGGTAGAATGATAGATGTTTTATTTTGCTTTGAAGACAATTATATCATATTAGTACATAGTTAATCTATAAAAACTGTTTGATTTTGTTAAGAAAATGTTCTTGAACTAAATGTTAGAGAAGATGCCGACTGAAAACGTTTTTTTTTTTTTTGAACAAAAAGTCAAGCAACATCATCCATAGATAATATTATAATGTAAAATAGATTTGGCTACACAGAAAAACAGGCTTGTTTTAAACCGGAGAAGTTTGTGTATGAAAATACTGAGCCTTTTCCGGTTTCGTCGGACTTCAATGTAATACGGAAAGAAATCTATGTCATTTCTTTCATTTGATAAACATCATAAATACTGAATTGTTAGACCAATTTATTGATTTCATAGATTCATGTGCAATCTTGCATCAGTCATCATTCATAAACAATATTTTATATGAATATGAATCACATACGGAAGAGTGTTGATCAAAAATACAATTGATTTTTGTATCTTAAAAAGTATCATTTCTTCAATTCTGTGAAATACAATACTAAAAAGAGGTCTAAAGATCAATATACATGATTGACTCATCTTCAGTATGTGTTATCATAGCCTTATACATCGAATAGAATAAATGTGAGATGAAGAAAAACAACGCAGCTAAGTAATATTTTTTTTTCCGAATAAAGTCAATATTGCTGTTTCTTAGAATAAAATGTCTTATTCCGAGCAAGGATATTTTTCTACATCAGCGACATTGTCATATCTATACTTTTTGATGTATGCTATCAATTAGAGCCATTAGAACCTGGAAAGAGAGCCGAACAAATCAATTTTTCGTATGCTTGGTATGTGTATCACGACTTGCATATGTTTTGACATACTGATAATGCGATAATAATTGAATGCTAAAAGAAGATTCTTTTTATGACAAGACAGAAAAGTCAAATATACAGAAACAATATGACTAAACGAAACATTGATATATACATGAATGTGGATCAGGGAATAATAAGAATTATTCAACGATTCATATATGATAATAATAACAACTAATAAAGAAGTATAAAGAGTAACTTATCGAAATAGATAGAGAAACTAAATAAATAAATATATTGACAATGAACAATGTACTGACAATGTAATATTACTCATGATTGTGTGCAGTCCAAATGGTAACAGAAAAATAATTTCTTGTGTTCTCGTGGCGAAGATACTTAAGTATATTTTTTGATATCTACATTAACTGCTTAAAAGGACGAAGTTTTTCATAGGTTATATTCTCTCGTTCATTTTATTTTTCGTTTCACTATGTTTTTTGTTCTGGTTAGTGTAACGATATGAAAGAACTAAATTAGATCTAGGATATATTTAGCAAAATACTAATAAGTATCGTTTTCATATAGAAAATACTAGAGAAAAAAAAAGATAATATTTCTGGATTTTTATACTAAATAGTTACAATATTCTGAATCAACATGAAAAAAATACTCCGGAAATTTTATTTGTCATGATAAAGTAATCGCTTCAAAATTTTATATGCAAGGAATTAGAGCCAAAAAGTTCAATGCGTGCAAAAAAACTGAAGATTTAGTGTTAGTTTTAGTTAAAGCTAAAAATGTCCGAGTCTTAGTTTAGTCCGTATATATCGTCATGCTAATCAGAACCATGAAAGTTTGGGCTTGGCTTGTCCTGAACCGAGAAAGAACAAAACAGGGAAAGTTCGAGCTTGTTGCATGGGTCTAAGACAAATTTGACGTCCAGTTTAGATCTTTGTGGCTGTGAGGTATTGTTAAACTGAAGAAGAAATCAGACAGATGTGTATATCGAATGCATATATATGTTAAATAATTAATTTAAAGAAATGTTCAATAATCCATGATACATACTAATCTGCGGATTAAATAAACCAAACTCGAATTCATAATCTATAGATCATCATTCGATTCGGATGCTACATTGAAAGAGTTTTTTTTTTTTTATAGATATCCTTTGTCACCAATTTAATTTTCATGAACTTATATGATTATCTGATTTTTTTTTTCTTTCTCTCATCATGTTGATGATATACTGAAAAATCAAATTGCATAATTAGTATCGAGATGTTTCCATTAATTTAAATGTATCATCGATTGATCAAAATAGCCAGATAATACTATTTGATAAAAACTACTCAAATATTATCCAATCTCTTAAACTCGCCTATTTAGTTTTTGAAAAAAAAAAAGTATCTCTAGTTACAGCTGACCATTGTACATCGTATGCATATTCGTCTTTTTTTTTGTCTTCTAATTAAAAGGATAGCTACTGCCATCTAAATAAATTATTTATGATTGATTAGATAAGTTGACTTTTTTTTTACACTTGTCAATCAAAAGGTATAAATATGGAGTATGGTGAGTATGCTGTAGTATACAATGTTTTCGACATTATATTAATTATTTAATTGATTGATATAAATTCAACTTTTCGTTTTACAATTTATACTAGATTCTTGTTTAAATTGATGACTTTCTTAAATAAGTGACTGCTATAAATGATTATCGTATTCATACAATTTTCATTATGTAGTTTAGTATGCAAACTAAAACTGCAAAAGTTGGATAAATCAAAGAAAAAAAATGTAAGCAATTCAATTTGCTTCAAATCTACTCTATAAATCCTGAACTTTGTTTTCTTTTTTCATATCAATGCATAAATGTAGTGAAATAACTACTCATAATTCAATTTAACTGTTTGATCTTTAAAAACTGATCTCATAAATTTAATTCATGATTTCAACTGATTGAATTAATCAACTTTGAATCAAATTGTTTAAATTTCTTAAATCACTAATAGATTGGTTTTAGTTTTACTTCTTTATTCACTATATTTATGACTCAATATTCAGTGACGGACTTTGGACTTTGCTGAATAAGGACGATCATAATCATAAAACGTTCTTTCAAATCAAATTAGAGGTCATATCGGTTTATTTCTCGGGCATTTTCTGTTGCAAAAAAATAGTTCGGAAGAAAGATACAATAGTCCTCAGTGCTCCCTTCTAAAGCCGACACTGTAAACATTACAATAATAAATAATAATAATAAAAGTATTATCCACAAGAAAAAAAACATCAACGAATGATAATAATTTACGAAATAGCTTTGTACGTCATTACTAGATGTCTTCTGATGTTTCAATCAAGTGACAGAAGAGAAAAAGAGCACATTTGTTTGGAATATTATTATAAAACATGGACTTTTTATTTGATTGGTTCGTAAATTGTATCTCAAGATAATATTTTGCTTTTGATTCAAAATTTACTTTTTGTCGGTTATCAAAATAGAGCATAATGAAATATATTATCAAATAGAAATAGTAAAAATCTTTATTTATTTTTTTGTAAAATATAATTAAAAATTCGCTATGCTACCTGCTCAGCAACGCTTGCTTACACCCCAAAATATTGATGATCGATTAATAGTTGCTATTATTCGACGTGATCTTACAACAGTTCGATATATTCTTGAATCAAATCGATATCGTTCAACAATAAATCAAAGTCTTTTTTTTTGTTCATATCGAGATGATTTTAATCATCCTTTAACACCATTAGGTATACTTAATTCTACTGCAAACTTTTTATCTATTAATTATTCTAGCTGCTGCTTGTCATTTTGGTTCATATGAAATAGTTGATATATTGATAAATTATTTTCATGCTAATATTAATAAACAACATTTACCCGGTTGTAAAACACCACTTCATTATGCTGTACTAGCAAAATCAAATCGTTTCGATATTGTTCAATTCCTTCTTCAACATGGTAAAAACAATAAGAAAAATTCTATTCGAAAATAGTCTATTTATTTATTTAACATAGGTGCAAATGTTGATGTACAGGATCGTCATGGTACAACAGCTTTAATGTTAGCTGTACTTCATTCTTATCATGATATTGTACATTTATTACTTGAACAAGCCGGTGCAAATGTACGCATTTATAATCAATATCATTTGACAGCATTTGACTTTGTTAAATATAATGTTTCAATTATAAATGATCTTATTCGTTATGGTGCTATATCGTTTAATATAAATGATAAAAATCTATTTCAATGGTTAATTATAAATAAACATATGCGTTTAGCTCGTTTATTAATTGAAGCTGGTTATACACCATCAATAATATTATTTCAACAGCGAATACGTTCATTAAAAAGTTTATGTCGTTTAAAAATACGTTTTCAAATTTCAGGTAGTCATTTTCGACAATCAATTGAAACACTTCCGGTGAAGAATAAACAATTAATTAAATATATTTTACTTGATGATATATAAACTTCGAATTTTTTATTTCACTGTATTTTTTCTTCTTTCTTTTTTGTGCAATCATAATTTTTCTAGATATGTAGTTATTCATATTTTGAACAGATGTTAGTGTAAAATCAAGAATTTAAAAAAAAATTATTTTTTTTATAATAAAATGATTGATATGGCAAATATGATTTTTTATTTTATTTTAAGAACTTTTCTTAGAAAAAAAAAACAATTTTGTGATTTATAACTTGTGTCTACTGTTGAATACATTATAGTTTATTAATTTTATGATGAGATTTAAGCATATTATATAGGTTTTTATAAAGTCTTATAATGACGAAAATAATATGAAAATTTTGATGCTTAAAGTTTTTCAAGCTTCTCTATCTACTTTTGGTAGTGACGGCAAACATGGATATCATATAACGCTAATTATAACAAGAGAATACAACATTCGAATATAAAAAGTTACAGAATAGATTGAAAGTATACATGCGGATGAAGACTCAGAATTATACACTTACAAAGGGGTCTTATATGTTTGTTTTCATATGTTCCAGATTTTTCCGCTACTTTAGCCCTTTACCCTTCATAACGGTTCCAGCAGAATTATTAATAAAACAGCTATAGAAAGAGAGTATTTTCCTCTTCAGTAAGCCCATAATATAAGCAGCTCGACCAGATGCGCTACCCTATATGCACAATAATTGGCAATTCAGTGATAGCAACATGAGAATATTTTTTTGTAACTCTTTCTGAATAGCTTATTGATATCGTTAAAATACAATATATTTTTATTTAATCCAACAATACGAATAAAGAAAAAAAATCAACGCGTAAAACGATTATCTTTTTTTTTCTCTACACCACGTGTGTTTCCGGAACAGTATTCTATGTACATAATATCTGTTTTTCTAGAAGTATGTAATTCATCAAGCAAAGGGTATAATTAACTATTCATTCTTCTTCAGCTTCGAATATGATAAGATTGACAAGAATAAGGGTGTGGATAGGGGCATGGTTCTGGTCTCTTCTTATCCGACAGTAACATCCACACCCACTCACATGTACACCAAACATTAGTATAAAAACAAAGGACGCTCGTATTTATAAATAACAGAAATATTTACTTATCTATGCATAAGTATTAAGAAGCATTGCGTTTAGAAGAGAATTTCTAAAGCTTTTTTTTCATGTTATTACCTTCTAATAGCAACAAAATTTCTCAGTTTATATCGTTCAATATCGTATTCAACTGATTCGTGTGAAAATTTTTAAACAAATTTTACTCAATAGAAGCAACTTTCGTCGATATTTACTGCGCAGCACATTACCAAGAGAAGCATTTCTTGTACGTAAAAAAAGAAATAATTTAAAAGGAGAAGGTTCTTTTTTTTATAATCTCATATAGAATTCTTTATACATAGTATGCAAAAAGTTTTTTAATGTCACGTGTTCTGGAGTATTTCTAAAAACGACAATTTCAGTTGACATTGAAAAGTAAAGGATTAAACAATATAAAACTGGGAAGGATGTCAAAACGTAGGCGAAAATCAGTTCTACTATTTAAGTGAGTTAGATTCTTCTCTCTTTAATATTTACTAAAATCAAAAATTTGTTGTTGGATTACATTTCCTCATTTTCTTGTATTTCATCAGAAGAACTTTTGAGAAAAGCAAAGTAGAAAAAAATCAATCTCGCTTAACTCGTAGCACCATGTCTTCATTACATTTTAAAACCAACTAGCACTTTCTCACATGTGAAATATTGAAGAAATTAAGAACGCAAAAGCACCTACATTTTGACCTAGATCATTAGAGAACTCTTCATAAACTCAATGTATTTATCTAAAAATTTTACGGCGCAGTATCTAGCTTGAGATACACTTGTAAAAAATATCATTAAGATTAAATGATACGAAAGAAATTTGTTTTTTTCAAGGAACATCTCCAAAAATATCTAGGTCGGAAGGAAGTTTATTGCACCTTGAGTCATAAATATGAATCAGATATTATGACGTTAAAATAAAAGAGAAGAAAAAAAAACGTATATAAGTAGATTCATTATGTTGCAGGTTTTTTCCAATATATTTACGTTGTCATACAATCATACAGGTAAGATACGCAACTACTTAAATTTCCTCATTACTTTCCTTGTAGCTCATTTCGCTTGTCTTCTTTTTTCTATCAGGCTGTATTCAGCAGATTTTAATTATTGATCGGCATTTACGACGATGATAAGAGCAACTCGACAGTTATCAACGAAATCAGTCATTGACAAATTATTTAATGTTGTACAATCATCATCATATGATGAAAGGCAAACGAAACTGGATCATTTGATTGATACTTATGCACGACAGCGAAAGGCGATTTATCCCAATCTTGTTAATGATGTCATACAACGTTGGGCTCTTGAACAACCAAAACGAGAAGCATTATGGATGTGTGAAAGTAAAAGTAATGAAAGTGAAATATTAACATTTGATGATGTATATAAACAATCATGTCGTTTGGCTAATGTACTCACTAATGAAGAATTCGATTTGGCACCAGGGCAAACTGTATGTTATTAAATTCATATTTATCCATATATATAGAATGATAGTTTATCTAAATAGGTACTCGTTATTTTACCTAATACTGCTAAAGAACGAATTCTATTATTATTAGCATGTATTCAAACTGGTTTAATCTTTTGTCCATATGATCCAAAAGATTTAACAAATGCTGGAATTTCTGAAAGGATTCGAAAATTAGTTATTAATTGTGTTATTACAGATGAAAATAATTTAGATATGGTAAGATACTATACAGGAACCCCATTACGACCATTAAAAAAAGGTTATTTTATGCCATGCTCAAAATCTAAATTGTCACCAGTCAGTTGGACTCATTTAATGCAACATGCTAATAATGCTGAAAGTAGATATACAAAATTTGTGAATATTAATCATAATACACCAATTATTCGTTTGCTATCAAATAATAATAATGTTATTGAATATTCTCAAGAAGCTTTAAATCTTCGTTTAATATTAGCAGGGTAGAATATTTTTCTTTTTTTTTTTTAAAGTATTTAATATTTTATTAAATTTAAAATTAATATTTAGTCTTTGGTTAAATAGTAACAAAACACCTCGTTTAATATGGATGAAAAATCAAAATGAAATAATATCAATGGCTTCTTGGTTGTTTGGTTCATCAATATTTTATAAAGAAACAGAAACTTTAAAATCCATGGTTCAAACATTTGAAAATTATCCTATTGATGCTTTTTGTGCAACATTAGCTAATTATCAAATGCTTGAAAATGAACACGAACAACAACGAGAGATTACAACAAATCTTCAACAATTATTTTCTACTGAATCAATTACTTCTAAAATTAAATCTCGTTGGCATTCATTGACAAATCTTTATATTCGTGATGGTTAGTTTATCAATGAATTTTTTTTAAATTTTTATTTTTTATTTAAACTTAGATTATCCTGGTTTTTATAAAAAACCGATATTAAACGATTTTTCAAAACATGTTCGACAAACAGCATATGTTGCTGATAAAGTGTACGTAATTTTGTTGTTTTTGACTGTTCTATAATCACATATTCTTCTATTTTATTTAGATCACATCTAATAATGAATTTCTCAACAAACCAAAAGACATTAAAAAAAACTTGTTAATTAATATCGATTAAATTAGCATCGAGTAGAAAGTATAATCTGATGAATTTGTGTAAAATGCACAATAATCCACAGTCAAATGAACATAATCTCGAGCTCAATTTTTTTTTTGAATTTGTATTTGTCGAATTGATTTTTATTTATTCTTATATTTTGAACATATTTTCAATAAAAAAGCTTTCGGTATTTTCTAATAAATAAATCAAAAACATTCGATTGATGTTGATAAAAATTCTTTTTTACTCACAGGTGTATTATTATTTAAAACTTCTTTACAACGACGTATTGCAGTTTTATGCAGCCATTCATGTAGATATTTATTTTCAATTAAATCACGAATTGATTGTCTTTCACTAATTAAATATTTATAAATCTAGAATATCAAGATATATGTAAACATACCCTGTAATTCGTCCATGAGTCATATCTGATATTGATTTCTTTTTGCATGTACTATAACAAGGATTCATATTTATTTGATGATTGTTCATTGTTTTCCTGATATAATAAGAAATAAATAATTCTTAATATATATACAATGACTCCTATAATCGATTATACAGATATTATTTCGATTTTTTTTGTCTAATAGTAACTTGCATCAGAGTCCTGTAGGGTAAGACTCTTTCATATCTTATATTTTGTCCTATAGCGATTTTCATACAATATACCGAAGATTTATAGGTTTTGGTGTATGTCAACATGAAGTTTTCTTTAAAATTTTTCAGCATATTTTATTGATTTCCAATGATAATTAAACATAAAATTATTGCACATTTCAAAAGTTTCGTAAGAATAAAATGTCATCATTCAATTTTGTCTTGTTTCTTCCAAAACCCTCCTGCTTGTACTGAAAATGGGTTTACTTATGACTGAACTTGCCGAAACTACCAATAGTTTTTTCTCAATACACTAAATTGGGAATAGATCAATAACCATTTGTCCCACCAGTCCAATATTGATTCTTCTTTATCAAAACTTAATTTCGCTTTAACACACCAACCAACTTCTTCTAAATCGCAAATATATCAGGAGTGCCTTCGAGGTTACTTGTCTAAAAACCTCTTAGCAATATGCACAACACTCTAATGCTACCCTGAACACTTTTTATACCACCCTTATCATACTCTACTTTATTGGATAGAATTACTCTGCAGGACTCTGACTCGCTTAAACAATCCAAATAGTGATTTAAATAGAGGATATTGTTTCTAACAAGAACTTGACGAAGATAAAATCTTCACAGTATTTCAAAAACTTAGAATCTCGAGAAAACCCTCTATCCAGCTTTTTCAGAACATAAAATTCAAAAACAAAAGCGTCTTTTGATTACACAGGACGATAGAGAAACTGACTTTCTAGAAAATGACATGCCTCTGAGCTATCCATGACCCTTTTTAACACAACTACATCGATATGAAGAAACGCTCAAAAATGGTTTTTTCGCCATTGCCTAAGAAAAAACTGGGCTTTTCTTAAAATTTATGTAACTTACAATGGAAGATCGTCAACTGATAGTTAAGGAGATTGACCATATTCAGGTCAATTAAAAGCTCTCACCGTCAAACTAACAAATTTAAAATATTACGCCCTCAAAGTGTACCTAGAGCAAGTTACTTAAATTTCACATACATTGAAATTTCAATAACTTGCTCTAGGTACGCTATGGGGACGTAATATTTCAAAATTTGTTAGTTTGGTGGTGAGAGCTATTCATTTGATCCGAATATGGTCAATCTTCTTAACTAGCAATTGGTGACCTTCCATTGATAGTCAAAAAATGTCGTGAAAAGCTCGGAAATGTCTCATTTGGTATAGAATCAGCGGCTCTATTCCTCTATGTAACAAAAAAAAACTTTTTTCCAGATTCTTCGTGACGAAAAATTAGGTTTTAGAAATACTATGAAGATTTTATTTTCCTCAAATTCTTGTTGCAAATAATTTTCTCTATTCAAATCATTAATTGGATTCTTTATGCGAGTTGATATTACGCGGAAATCAATCGATATTAAATCTGTGTGATGAATTCTTAGATTTCGTGTAACAAGAAACTTAATCTACCGATATTGATGTATATCTTGTACTTTAGTAAGACCTAATCGAACAGTGTTTTTATTTATCTCAATAAAATTGGGAACAATAATTGATTTTGATGTGTTCATTGGTGTGTCATTGTATTGTAGAGCTAGTAGGAATGTTAATTAAAAATTAATCAAGAATTTATCGGATATTTGCCTGCAGCTACACCAGTAATACCATTTTGTTTTGGATGCTTGAGACCATATACAAAATTGTCAGGAGGTAAATGAAAACCTCGTTTACGTATTTTGCCCATATCGATATCATCCTTTGAAATTTTTCAATTAAGTATTAAAATTGAAAATTAATACTGACCCAAATAGGATTCTCATTGTTGAGCAATGCTTGACAAAATGCTCGTTCATTGGATGTTGGCTTTGTATACTGTCGACAAAATATAGGCATAGTAAAGAAATATAGAGCGATTTTTTACTTGGCGCGATATTTCTCATGGCTCAATTGATTACATTCAAATATTTAAATTCAATAATTGAGGTGAAACCAAAAAAAAACACTTGTTTATATTCTTAAATGACTTTCAATATCTAATATTTCGATTATTTCATTTCTTCTTTTATGTCGATATAACTGTATAAAAATTAATATTAACAAAAGAAAATCTACTAACTATCGTATATATCGCGCGCGTATTTTTGTATTTCTTATTGATTTATACTTGTTACTATGCATTATTAGCAACAAGCAATAACACGATTACTTTAGTATAGAACTTAAACTCAATATAATAAGCAAATATTAATGTCACCTGTAATGAATACAATCCAGCGTTCTATTCTTAACAAACTATTGATACGATAGTTTTTAATAGTCATTAAAGAACAATTAATAAACAGATATCATCAGAATAGTATTAATAATAAAATATTTAGACATGGAAAAAATTCTATCTAACAAATGTAATGCTTATAAATCTCTTCCGAATGTTTTATTTTTATCAAAATCAAATCAAATCTTACCATTACATACAAGTCAAAGTTTACCATCTTGTTTAAAATTTCTCAATGATAAATATCAATATAATAAAAATCTCTCAGTATCAAAACTAATAAATACGAAAAAAAATCCAATAAATTTAATTGAAAGAAATAATTTACATCCAACTATTGGTGAATTACTTGGTGATGATGATTTATTTCATTATCATTATCATAAACAATATAATTCATCAAGATTTAAACGAAGACGACATGATTATCGATCATATTCTCGTTCGTCTCATATTCATCATCATTATCGAAAACATCATCATCAAAATAAAGAATTTCAATATCAGTCATCATCATTATTATCTCATTGTAATGAATTAACATCCGAGATAAAAAATCAAATTTATCTTTATCCAACAACAACAACAACATATAATTATACACCATTACCTACTTACTGTTATTATTGTTATTCAAACATGTCTTCTTATTATCCATATATCATATCAGATTGTTATAAAAGTTTCTATCAACAAGAACGATATTATGAGAATACCAATATTCGAATATGATTATCAACGAAATAAGAAAAAAGAAAACGACATATTTGAAGTATTATTATTATTTTGATAAGGAAAAAATCAAAATCATATTTCTATTTAACATAATAATAAACTGAATAGATAATTTATGATTTAAGAATTGATATTATATTTTCGATTTATTCTCTTAAGAAGAGAATTTTCTTATGTTATACACGATTTTTTTGTTGTTCACTTTCAAGCATAATTAAACAACATAAATGAGGAATAAAATTTGCATAATAACAAAATGGTTTTTGTTGTATATCAATTGGTATTTGTGATGATTTAAGTAATTTATATATTGTTAAAAAAGCTGTTATACCAATTTGTTCTTCAACATATTGACGAACATGATCGATTTTTGTTCGACGATCATATTGATTTCTACGAGCAACATCATATAATAATTGTAAAGGTGAAAAAGATTCTGTTGATAGAGTTATTCTATCAATTGATTCTAATAAACTTAATGTATCATCATTAATCAATCTCTTATCAACATATGAATTTTGTTGTTTTGTTAAAGGAAAACTTAAATGAAGAGAATGAAAAGAAAAGAAAAACATTTCTTCAAATCTTCTAACTATACTTACTGATGATTATTATTTTCATAATCATTTATCAGATCTTTTGATGTTATTTGCTCTTTACTAAAACTTTCTTTAATTATTGGCATATAAATCCCTCCATGTTGTTGATACTTTCGCATGAATTCGTCGAGTTGCATATCTTTTTGTCGATATTTGTTAGAATGTATTAACGTTGTTTTAGATTCCCTCATAGATCGCTTTGCTTTTCTTTCATCATTATCATTATCACTTGAAGATGATGCTGATGAAGACACCGTACCATTGATAACAAACGGTCTGTAATAATTTTTCTTTGACTTGATTTTAATACGTTGTTGCTGTTGTTCATCATCAGATGTATGTGGTGATGATGATATTGCATCAGCAGGTGGAATACTTCCTATCAATTGATTATCAATTTTATATTGAGATAAATTTTCATTTAATTTCATTGTCGATGTCGTTAATGGTGTTTCAATAGAAGATGACTTTATATTATCCGTAACATATTGATTATCGTTAAGCATACATTTATTATGATTATTATTATTATTGATTACACTCTGATCAATGTCATTTTTGTCAGTTTCATAAGTCGATGATAGGTTAATATTAGAATAATAATTCTTCTCGAAATCATTTGATGAGTCAAGAAATCTTGGTGATGGTGATTTTTTTAATATACTTTTTGGTTGTGTTTGAACGAATAGATGATGATATGTATCATTAGTTGATGACATAAGCTTAATTCTTAAGAATAAGATAACTAACCTTGCATAGATATAAGCGAACAATGAATGATACAACTGTCGTTTCTTTTTTTCTCTTCTCTCTATCTTTCTTCCTTTCGCGTAATCTTTACCGAGAAAAAAGAAGATAATCAATTATCTTATATATACATAAGAACAAACAAATCTTGTATATTTCCTCTCTTTCGCTTTTAACCTTGTAAAGATTTTCTACTGATTTTTTTTTGTTTTGTTTTTGCTATTAATTTATTAAAATAGGAGATTCATGTACATTATTTAATTTAAATTGCCATGTGTTTGTTGTCCATTCTAACGGATTAATTAATGGACTACTAAGAGTTTTTTCAATAAAAAGACCTGTTTGATCACGACGAATAAGAATTACAGTTGATGTTCTATGCATAAATAATAGATGAAAGGAAGAAAAAAAGAAAAAAAAAGATTTTTTTAAAACCTTGTTCCGTAAGTTGGTGAGTCATCTGTGGTGCATACATTAATTGATGAAATTTGATTACGATTTGATATTGAATAATGTGAATAAACAGCAGCAATATTAGGGTCATCAGGAAAACTAAACACAATAAAAAAGAATATTATTTTCTTTTTACAATCTAAGGAAATATAGTGTAACTAGAGAACATACGACATATGCGAGTCAAATTAATAGTCTCACTGGTGAAGTAGCAAACCTAAAATACGAGATGTACTGACTGAGATATTCCAATTGCAGGAGTATTTACAGTGCGTATTATATACAAAACAATTCAAAGTTTCAGTAGGATATATTTTTCGAATATTATCGTCGTTTGATAGAGCTTGCCGAGTTACATAAGAAAAATATTTTAACACAAAAGTCTACAATACCATTAGGTTTAAATATAAATGGAAATAAAACCAAATGTAACTCAACGAGCTCTATCCAAACATTCACTCTGAATATCTTAAAATTTGCGCATCTCATTTCGTATTTATATTTAATGAAAAACTTACACTTTATTATCATTTAATAAACCAAATGCTCGATGAATTAATTCTTTTTCATCTGTAATCGGTTTTTTATAATTATCTGTTAAATCAGTAAGAAATGCTTTAAATAATTGACAACCATAACGAGTCTTTTCAAATGCATATTGATCACCATATATATGATTGCTAAAACCGAAAAGAGCTAATATAAAAAAGAAACAAATCAAGTATTTGATTTAATTAGTAAGAAACATAAGATCAATTTACACGTATTGATTTCAATTGCTGATGAATCTGATATATTATTTATATATTTAGCTCGCCATTTTCTATTAATAGAGAAAAAAAATATACTGAAAGTTTTAAAAAGCTACCAAAAAGTAATTTGACAACATATTCATTGATTTTTCAGACCCTTACAAGAAACCTGCAGAAATTTGAAAACATTGATATTGAGTCTAAGTTTTGTATTGATTCCGAATGTAGGTTCAACATTTACCTAGAAGTTCTAATTTCGAAGTTATAAGTTGACTTTTTACAGTCGCAAACATTAAGTTCGAACGAAGTAAATTGATAGTTTTTGTAACAAGAACTTCTTTTAGTGCGCATACATTATATTACTGATTTTTTTTTGCACAGAACCCAAGACGAGATTATTCTCTACAAAGTGATATAAGCATCAAGAGTGGTCGAATTCACTTTACAAGTCTGTTTCTTTTATAGAAATCAAGAAAATTGACACGGCGTACCTTATCAAAATGCTCACTATTGATAAATAAATCATTAGTATACTATTTTCTAGGCAAGAGTTTGTTCCTTCATTTGCTGCTGTATTTGAAACAATCTTGGAGACTGTGCCAAATTTTTGAAGTTATATTCGAAAAGAATAGAATAGTTTGATCCTCATTCAATATTTTCAAGTTTCTACGGACTTCTTTATGAGGCTGAAAAGTGAGCGTATATTTTATCAAATTACTTTTCAATAATCCGTTTATAATGATTTCAAATTAATTTTACTTGAAATTCAAAAAAAGAAGTTAGTTTCGACTCACTTAGACTCTGATTGTTGTTCGAGTCCAAGAAAATTGAAACCTGTATAATTCATTTTAGTTTTTTGTAATTCATCCACATATGAATCAAGATTAACCTCTGGATTATTCACATAATTTGATACAATAAAACCTCGACTCTGAGCATTGGTATTTTTTTCTTTTAATAAACGTGAAGATAAATTCAATAAAATACCAATTCTACTTTGAACAGTATTTAAACATAACCACGTACCACCTTCACGTAATGGTGTTACATCTTGTCCTTTATATAAATAAAAAATATAATATTATTTCATTCTTTTCTTTTTTTCTTGTCTTATTCTAAAATAAAACTATCGAATTCGAACCTCCAAGTGCATATTTCGTATCTTTCCAAATATGAGCTTGTTTAGCTGGTCGTTGAAAATCTTCATCACGATTTGATAATAATATTAAATCATATCCAATATCAATATTATCGTCTTGTAAATAACAGAAAAGAATACACATGATCTCAAAATACACACAAAGTTTTTATAAGAAAACGAAGATAACTATTAAGTCGATAAATTCTCAATGTGTGTATCTTTTGAAACACACACATGAAGAATAAAAAATATATCTTCACTTATACAAAGAAGAAACAAAAAAAAACAAAGAACTGTACACATGAGAAACAGTGTTATCAACTTGTTTGAAAAAAAAAATGAAAGACGACTAATCATCCTTATATAAATAGTTGAACAAATGACAATGAACAATAAGAAGAAGAAGAAACAGAAGAATATGTTTATACAGATCGTTTTGTTTGTTTTCTATTTTGTCATGAATGATTTCTATTTGATGATGTTCCACTATACTCTATTCCACGACATGTCGATGAAAATGTATTTATATGATCTTTAAAATTTGCACGACTTGTACGTTCACTAAAATGAAAAACAAAAACAAGAAACATTACATTATTAAACAAAATTAAGATATAGAAATATGTACGATGTTAATGCTTTGATTAATGCTTCACGATGATGACGTTTTGGAGATGGTGTAGGAAAATTTGGATCATTCAAACATTGTTGAACCCAATTTGATGTACAATCAATGTATAATTTTGATAGAGTAAATAATGGTAGCGATAATGTATCAACTAAATGACGTGGACTTGCTCCACCAATACACTAGAATTTCAATATGCGTTTTTTAGATTTTGTTTTTTTTTAATAGAAGTTATTTATTCATAATTCTTCTTTATTTCTATATAAAGTTGTGTTAAAAATATGTGTTAAAGTAATATTTGAAATAGAATTCAAGAGATAATAGATCAATGTTTTATCCAGATGTTCTCGTTCGGAAAGACGCCGTACTCTCGACTCTGATTCTGGATAAAACACTACAATAGATTGGTTTACTGTATCAAACTATAATTAAAAATCAGATGGTACAAACTCAATGATCGTCCGTTTTTAATGAGAAAAAATTCTTTCGAAAAGCCATATTATCATCAGCTTGTTTATTGGATGGTTTTTTCTATACTTCTTTTTCTCTTACTGCCTACACACTAATTTGTTACGTGTTGCTGTTTATAATAGCTAAGAATTTTCTACATAAACAGTTGATCTTATCAACAATTTTCTTTGTAGATAATATTATTATTTTGAGTAACCAGATAATTCGTCATGAGTGTGTGAGTTTCAGTGTGAGTGAAAGTTTTTTGTGTATCGTTCTAGCACCATTATCGTTGTTTCTAGGATTCTCGATAAACATTTAGAAGTCCTTTAATAGCAATCATAATAGGAGCTTTTTGTTTTGTTCTTAGGTTATGTATGATTAATAAAAACAAAATTCTTTCGATTAATGTTGGATATTTTAGCTAGATGAGTAACGAGATTTTCTTTGCTATCCCTCATATCAGCATCTAGGGTTCGCATCGACCTCAGTTAATTTGGTTTTAATATTATGCATAGATAACTTGAGATCGAATTTCATCCCTTTAGATATAGCTCAGCGAAAGATAATACAGTACACTGATAACAGTATTCAATCGTTGTGGAAGTAATATATAATAATACCCCAAAATACACAAGAACATCAGATATACGATAAATGGTTCAAAAACACAGAATATAAAGAATACGAGAAAAAAAGATTGAATATAGAGAATTCAAATCGATTGTTTTTGTATTCATTCGTTGCACAGTCTAGACTGCTGCATAATGTTTACACTTCCATTATATATCCCATAGGTGAGGATATGAAAATTAATGAAATATGTTTTAATCTAGATTTTAATTATTTTCCTTTATAATCAAAAATCAACAAGATAAATTTCTTAATATATTCAATCATATAATAATAATAATAAAGTATAAAATCAAACCTTAAGAAGAATCTGAACTATTTCGAGACCATTTTGTCTTAGAAGATCGGCTGCCCGTTGATTTGATTTCGTATATTCAATATAATTACACTTTAAAAAATAAATAACAAAAAAGAAAGATCAATAATATTGAAATTTTTCATAATTCATCTCTTAACTGTAAACATTATAATACTTCTTAATGTTGCTTGTTCATGTAATTGAAGACCACTTTTTACTTTAAAATATTCAAATATTAAAAATAAATTTTCTATTAAATATTAAATGACATACCAAATTGAAAAAGTAGAACAAATGCTTCATTAGGACAATGATGTACAACAGTTGGTAATTTTTTAATAATCTAAATTATAACAAACAGAAAAACAAGTAAAAAAATAATTGAAAATAATCATTATACTTGAATAAGAAAATTAGCAAAATCTTCTACAATATCAACATGATCTTTTAACCATTGTATATCTAAATCAAAATTATATATATACATATATGTCAGAAAAGCAATCAATAAATTCAAACCTCCTTTAAAAAGACATCCAAATCTTTGAAGAACAGCAATAAATAGATTAAACATTTGTTTATCGGTATCTTGTGAAAACAGAAGAAGTGTCTATAATAATAATAAAAAATATTCATAAAATTTCTATTTTTATTCAATACACTATATAACTTACATTTCTAACAAAATTTAAAAATTGTGCATGCAATATATTTGGTCCAATGTTTTGTGCAAGTTCTAAAAGAGATTTCAATATTGGGCTAATGGATTCTCTTAATGTTGTTACTGTTCGTGAAAGAATTTCACATAATTTCTTTAAAATTAAAAGTAATTCAATTAATAATTATGAAAAAAAAAAATTCTTATTGTTTTTCATCTTACTTCTGTTACTTCACTATCATCAGCATATTGCTTAAGAACCAGATGAAGAATCGGAGTAAGATCACGTAGAACACAACATAACTATACGGAAAAAAAAGAGATAAAGAAAATATTGATTATATGAGTTAAAAAGTCAATGGCTTTTGAAATCAGCTGTATCTCGAAATTGTCGGGTTCGAGATCAATTCGATGGGCTATGTCTTTGTGAGATTAGAAAATACATAAAGGATTCATGTCTATGGATCTTTCTTCTTCAATTATGACTGTTTGAGCATTTCAACAGAATGTCCTATGTCCTTATGGGATGATCTTCAACATTGAGTTTCGAATTAACATTTTGTACAAACAAAGTTCTTAATAGACCAAGGTCATTATGAAAATATCAGATTGTCTTTCTATATTTCGATATTAAGATGAGAAATACTGGAAAATTGGACATTTTCACAATGATCTTGTCCGATAATGAATTTTATTTATGAAAACTTTTTAGCTTGAAGGTCGATGTTGAAAATAATCTAACGAAGAAAGAGAACTTTTTGTTGAAAAACTTATTCAAATGGTCATCAAAGAAGAAGAAAAATCCGTGAACATGAATTCTTTTGGGACTTTGTCTAATCTTGCAAGGACATACCTAATGAGATAAGTCTAATCTCAATAACAATTTATCACTTGACAAGGTTCCGTCAATAGTTAGTTTTTATACGTCCTATGGGATTCGTGTCTGTTTTTTTTTAACTAATCAATCATCATTAAGAAATATAGAATATATATTCATGAACTTTTTTTTTAAATATAACTGAATATAATCAGGTTTTTATCTGTAGAGACACTTTAAAACCAAGCTTTAATGATTTTGATATTAACAAGGATGTGAAGCTATTTATTACAAAACAAAAATGGCGCATAATGGTCAGAGAAAAAGAATAAATTATCTTGATTTCGAATTCCTAGAAATTTCTTTTTAAACGTTTTTTGTGTCTTTAGAAATAAGACCTTGGTATTGATCGTACGAATGCTTGTAGTCAAGAACTATTTTACTTCAAGCATAAATATTTTTAAATGACTTTTACCGTAGATAGAGCTCGTCAGATTTATTTCGGTACCGGCTCAACAGGTCATATGCTGAAAGTAACAGTTAATTATAACTTGATCATTATTAGAATTATCTGAGAAATATATAGGGAATAGTAGTAATAAAATTCAGAGCGATTATTAAACTCTCAAGGGAAGTCCTTCAACTGATAAAGGACGGGGGCGTATAAGGGTCATTTTTGGGCCCTCGTCAATTTTGGTTGATTCATAGTTTACTAGATGCAGAATTTCACGAGGAATCGTTTGGTATCAAAATAAAGCTATTTCANTTATATATTTTGTCTTTTTCAGAAACGTCTATATCCTCTCTTGCCTTCGATATTAGATGCTTCTTATTAGAACTCCAGGGGTCGCAGCGGTGTCATGTGAAAAATCAGGAATAAGGACAGGAATTTTCGAAGAAAAAATCAAGAAAAGGGACCCAAAATCAGGAAAATCAGCATTGCTTGGAAACACAGGGAAAGATGTAAATATACGAATATTTTTTAACGAGGCGCACAACCTATTCGTCTATTTCATTTTTCATACTTCTTGTTGTTGCGAGATACATATCTTCTCATTTCTCGTTTCTGATCGTACTTTCGCGTGGTACTTTCCTTCCAATGTTTCGCCGATGGCCATGCACATGAAGTTCATCTAGTATTCGTTGAGAGTGATCAGAAAACTTGTCGTTTTAACACGTGTGGAGGGTTGAATAGAGCTGAATTTTATTACTTTCCGAAAGAGACCAAATGCTTTAAAATTGTTAAGTTTAAGCCTTATATAAAAATCAACCCCTAAAAACGATATCTCGCTCATAGTTCAACTAAAACAAAGACTGAAAATTTGTGCGTTAATTGGAGACGAAATTTTCTTGACAATGAGTCCTGTTTTGTGCTTTCGAACTACTGTTGTGTCCGAGCTATATAATAAAGTCAAGAAAATCAGGAAAATCAGGAAAAATGGGCAAAGTCAGGACGAATCAGGACGCTTTTTAAAAAATCAGGAAAGTAGTGTCGCTGCGACCCCTGGAACTCGCCACAACAAAGTAATATTGAACTCTCAGTCTTGTACAATTTATCTTTTGTAACATAAAGTGATTGAATGCTTTACATATTTATTGAATCAGAGTTTGGGGTTATTTTACTACATTGTATGTGCCTGTGCTTCTACAAATAGATTTCTCGTCTTCCCGAAGTTTTAAACCACCCATTTGAAAGCGAAAATCTGGATATAACACTGATTTTGACCTCACAAAAAGACTAACTTTCATAGGCGGCGAAATGGTTTCAACATAGAATATGCTCAATAATCTTTATGAGGTTCCCATCGAGAAGTTAAGAATAGAGAGAAAAGAGCAAACCTTTTAAAGCTATTTAGATGAAAAACCAGCTAGTGCTTCTTACTTCCAACTCACATTTTACTCTGTATAAAGTTGATATGATTCAGAAAAGTTTGTACTATGTGTCAAAATCGAGCACTTAAAGAAAAACGCCAACATTTGATTTTATTTAATTTCAATTCTTGAAAAGAAGATTTTTCGATCTCCTTGACTAAAAAGACAGAATAGTGACGAATCAGTTGTGTTCTCAAAAACAAAAGAAACAAGAAACTACATTGTAGATTTGTTCACTTTATTGAACATTTGTCTTAGGCATGTAAGTTCACAAGGAAACTACCCGAACTGTAGCTTGCCATTTGATTTCATATTGAGTCTACAAGAATGTCTCCGTAAGATTAGAAAAAGCTGAAAAGGGTTTGTACCTATAAATCGCTGGAGCTGAGTTATGATCATTTTACTGAATTTTCGACTCATTTTTAGGTATTTACTGGAAAATGAAATATCCGAATTTCGACGTCCAATTTTGCCACAGATAGTTCTAATAACTCGTGGAATATTGTGAAAGTTTCAGTCGAAATAAATGTTCCTTCGTCGAGATATTGAATTTCCAACAAATAGTTGCCTGTCACCGACATGTTACGAAAAAATCGAGTTTAATTGGAAATCCAATATCTCGACAAATGAGCATTCTTTTTGACTGAAACTTTCACAATATTCCTACGGATCATAAGATCTATCTATGGGTTGAATCTCAGATTGAAATCCCATTATTTGGTTTTTCAATAAAATATCTAAAAATGGATCGAAAATTTCGTAAAACAGTCATAACTTAGTTCGAAAGGCTCATGGGCACGAACCCTTTTAGAATTTTTCTAGTCATGCCAAGACCTCTTTGTAGCTTCAATGTGAATTCAAACGGTGGATTATAGCCTGCAGTTTATCAAACGCTAGTTTCTCGTACAGGTCTTTTTCACTTACAACAAAAGAGTACTATTTGAAGTCATTGACAATTTAAAATCCAACGTTTAGTTATACCAAACTGAATATTTCGTGAAAAAATTTTTCGAAGTTTGTTTCACTATGACAATATTACTATTCGCCACCGAACTCCATAACAAATTTTGATATTTGTAAAAGAATTTCGATATACTGCATAAATCTATCAATCAAATGTTTAATTCTCCTCAAATCTCGTGGCTCCACTATTTATAATAACATCCTCAACTAGTTTTGTCACGTTCATTAGTTGTGTTAATAGGATTAATACGATTCTTCGAAAATAAAAACTAAAATTCATATTTCAAAATATCTACTAATAATAAATTTTATTTATTAACAAGTAGTCATATAAAAATTCTATTCATGATAGTAATTCTTGAATTTTATTTACCTTCAATAGCTCGATTACTAAGAACATTATGCATACACATCTAAAAATAAAAATAAAACAACAATTCTTTTCTTCGAAATGCATTTCTTATTTACCATTGTATCTGTTATATCAACACGATAACATCGAAATGTTTCTTTATCTTCACTTGTAAAAATACTCTCATTATCTGGTAATTGTCCTTTAGAGATTAATACTTCAATTAAACGTTCAAAATACGGACGAAATAATTCTAATAAAATTATTCGTTTATCATCATCATCTATTGAAGTTACTTCCTCCTAATATTAAAACAAAAAATATTTTATTTAATTTATTTTTTGCTCGAAGAAAAATAAAAATTCAATCAATTTTATTCTACCTGTAATGCATACCAAAAGCTAAATGTTAATTCCGAGCATGTCTCTTCCACGGGATACTGTCCTTTCATATCAGTACATTTCTTTAAAAACAAAAAAAGTCAATATTTAATAATTAAAACAAAAAAAAAATGAAATCTAAAATTTTACCATAACAAGACAACAAAATCTATGTGCAAGTGTTTGTGATTGCTGATTAGGTGTAATAGCCATTTGAATAATAAGTTGAGCAAGATTTTCACCAAATTGTGTTATTAATTTTGTTATCCATTCTGCTTTTTCCTAAAAAAAATATATTCAATAAAAATCTAAATATAAAATTTATATATGTAAACATTTATTTTTCATACTTTATCACCAATCATTAATGATTGATCAAGTATTAATTCAAGTTGTAAAACATATGGTAAAAGATGTGAAAATATTGATGGATATCTATCAATTATAAATATTTGCAAAAATAAATTCTAAAAAAATATTTACTTAAGTGCGTCTGGTGATGTAAAAAGTACAATAATACAATTTGAAGCATCATCAAATATAGTTTCATTATTTAATGAATTAAATAAATAATCAAAAAGTGATTCAACTTTAACAATTGATATACCAAATTCAAGCCATTTTGATAAACATGAAAACATTTTGCCGAGAATATCTGCTTGATTATACGTTGAAATAATAAATTGTATATAACTAAGAACTAAATTTTATTAATAGAAAATTTAAATTAAATATTTGTTTGTTTGTTTTTTTATATTTTAAAATTACCAGTGGGAAATTGACTTTCAAGTTCAGCTCGAATTGAAGCACGTTGAGCTTTAGATACAACAATGCGTGAAAACTAAAAACAAAACGAAAGATTATTTTTGAACTAGACATGAGAAATTTCTCGGTTTTTGAATAAGAAAGCTGTTAGCGTAATCCCTGCGGAATTAAAATGTGAAATGCGATGTAGCTGCACTTGTTAATTAGAGGGAGATGATTTTATTTTATCTGTTTTGGGACACATTTTTTTACCATACTTTTATTTAATCGTTCAGAAATGTAATAACGAACGAGTTCATATATCATAACAAAACATTATTGACATGCGATTAGCCCTTTTATGTCAACAACGTCTGTGGAGAGTGCAAATTTCTATTCTATATACTTTAAAGCTCCTTTTAGGTCATATCTCGAAACTCTTCTATTACTTTTGAATAAGAAAACTTTGAAACCGTTCATAATCATGACGTGTTAGTCCTATGTTACAAACGTTTTATTGAATTCTCTACCTACAGAACAGTACTCACAGGAGACTTTGTTCTTACACGTAGATCCAATGATACCCAGCATGTATTAAAATCTTTTTCCGAAGCAGATGCTTCATTATTGTGACTAGATATTGTTTGCTGGGAGAGGATATTTTTTTGAAAATTTCATATCTCAAGCGAGAAACATCTATTTAGGATAAAAATTTCGGTTAGTGTGGATAGCATTAAAACTGCTTATGAACACAACTTCAAATCAAAGTGCATTTATTTTAGGTGTCTGTCTATACTGTAACATAGGCCAATAATTCAGTAGAATGATTGTAAAATTTGACCAACATTGTATGCTGATGAACAGTTTTAAGGGGTGTTCCCTTTTCAGAAACGTTTTCTTTTGTCCTAGAACAACCGATCTTGCTGCAACTTTCACCATATTTGTGTCTCGCCGTAGACAGTTCTCACGATCAAAAGTTGAGTGTAAAATATTGAGTTCTTTAAGTGTTTTACTAATTCCAAGTGTCAAAAAGTAGGTGTTCATGTGATAAAAATGGTTCCTCCAAATCTAATGATACACATTTCAGGTTATTATCTAAGTGTAGCCAAGATCCACCACCACAACTTAACAGAGTCGGATTGTTGAGATTTTGTTTCAATACTTTTTCCAGGAATTTTTATTCTCAATGTCTGAAAAATTTATGTTATGTATATGAAACGCGAATTCATTTTTTTCTTAAATATGAATCAGAAAATAAAAATATCTGAGTCGGCTAAGTTATAGCGCGTAGCTATCGCTTCATTTGAAAAATTCGCCCAGTTTTCTAGCGTTTAAAACAGCCGCGAAATCTTTTACGCGTCAGCAAGTGAGAACATGAAAAATTTATGTCGAGATAAACGAAAAAAAAAGTTTTAATTGAGAGCTTTTTCTTGAGATGTGGTGTGAGTGAGAAGAGGACTGTGCAGAAAATACAATCAAACACCCACCCACACCCTATGGGATATACTCTACCGAGATACTCCACCATTGAAAACCTATAGAAAAGTTCAAAAGATATTGATAATTGAAGTTTTCAAATAAGTCAATTTTCTCATTCTGACAGCTTCACTAAAAGCATGAAAACCCATCAAAAATTTCATACGCCACAGTGTTTTCGAAAACAGACAATACGAACTACGCAACCACGCAAACATTTAAAAATTGATTTTTTTTTACGAAAAACGCGTTTTCTATAAGGCACATGTGCATATGAAGAATAGACTGATACTCACATCTGTTTAATGCCTAAAATAGGCTTACGGATCGTGCAGAGTCAAAGAAACATGAAATTTGAATAGAGAAAATTTAAAAGCTAAACAGCCAAGTAGAATATAGACACGACAAAATTTTCTTGTTTATATTTTAAGTTTCTCCATAGCATCATTTGCGAACGCCAGACCTCGATCTACATTCGAATCTCGCAGAAAAAAAGCAAAACATCCAACTTTATTAGTTATTAATTCTGATTTTCCATCCGAAAAAAAAATCACCTTTTAATTTTTAAAGCTATCATAAACAATATGAATGTCATTTAGATTCCAGCAATTGTATTGCTTTATATTATTGAATACTTTTCGAATCTCTAAGGAATATCATACATTTCCAACACATTTTTTACACGCTTTGATTTAAATAATATATTAATGTAAAGTAGACGAAACACTTCTATAATAGATTCTTCGATTTATCCGTTCGAAATAATTTCTATTTTTTTTTATTAACATTCATTTTCATGATGGTTAATGTTCTTCCGATTAATAATGCTTCAGATGATCGGCAATCATTATTACTCATGAGAAAAACATAAATAGACTCTTTTCTTTTTTATTCAATTCAATCAATGGAACTATACAAAAGATAGATAATATTAGTTGTCGAATTGTACGAGAAAAGGAAGCGTACAATGTCATTACGACAATACGCCCTAATGTCTATCTATATATATATATCAGTGTGTCAAGGGCAAAGCACAAAGAGAAGAAATGCACTGTAATAGAACATAGCAGATGTTTTTATCTTCCTAATCTTTAAATCAACAAATAGAAGAAAAACTTACTTCTTCAGGAAGAATAGTTAAAATATTTAAAACAATTAAATGACCTTTTTCCGGCTAAAAAAGAAAATTAAGAAAAAGGTTAAAAAAAGCCTCCAAACAACTGCAATTAACAAACATGTTCCATTAAAAATTCATTTTGTGATTGCGTAAATAATGTAATAATTGCTGTTATACCATTCTTCCATTTATCTGGCATCATATTTAATATTAAATGTCCTAACTGAGAATAAATAATTCTTTACTTTTATTTTCTTTTTGTGTTCAATTGATACTTACAGCAACAACTAATTTAATTGTAATTTGTTTTGAATTAATTGATATATAAAAAATTAAACGTTGAATAAGTTGTTGAAATAATTGTTGAATTTGATTATCATCTAACTCTGATCTAATTAATATATATATATTTATTTATTTATTTAAATAATGAATAATAATCAAGAAGAAAAGCAAAAATAAACAAAATCTTACAAATGTTTTGAAATTTTGTTACATAAAGCAACAGCACCAAAAAATTGTACACTTGGTGATTTGGTTGTATTTAATAATTTCCAAGAAAAATCCCATGCTATTTGAGAATATTGTAAACATTCAAGAATACTATTTAATTGTTGACGTTGTGGAACAGTTAATTGAGATGTTGGTGAATAAAAATCATTGATTATACGTTCTAATTGAAAAAATTATTTATTGAAGTTTTTTTTGTTGTAAGAAAAAGAAAAACTAACCGATCTCTTCTACGGAATAATTTGTTGCGGAAACATTTTTTGGGTCATTTCCATTTATAATATTTGGTGAACTATTAAACATTGTTTGAGATGCCATCAGCATGGCGATAAAAATAATCAAAATTAACTTTTATTTTTCTTGTTTTTTCTTTGTTGACAATAAAAAGAGAACCGTTCTAGAAAAATAGGTTGTAATTCGATAATAAATATTTTTGAATTATTCGTTCGATCTGTTGATAAATTCTTTATTCAACTCTTTCATTATTTGTTTTCTTTTTTTTTCTTCTTTCGATTCGGTGAATATCGCTATACGTTTGTGGTCTTATGCAATCATAAATACATATATGATGTCACTAGTCCACAATAAAAGAGTTAAAAAAAGATAATAAAAAAAAAAACTTCCTACTTAAATTGTTGACAATGGCGTTATAATATCAAATTCAAAGTTATTTTAAAATACAAAAGAGATCTAAATAGATTTTATTAAGGAAACTTTCTTTGCTGCTTTCTTTTATCATGTGAAGATATTAGTCAATCACTTGAAATACATAATAAGACAGTAAAAATGCCAAAAAAAGGAAAGAAGACTCTTATATGACAGGCGACAGTTGTCACTTGTCGTCTTTGTCAAGGTATTCTCTATGATTTAATTTATAGATGTTTTTTTTTTTTATAAATTATTTTTGGTCTGTATTTAGTTCGAACTGCTGATTCCATTTTGATTTAATTTCGACTTATTGGAAACAGAGCATGTCAGAAATTACTTGATTTCTAAGAATGAAAGACTCAAATTTATAGATATTTCAATTCATAAGAATGTAAATGTGTAGATCTCAATAGAGTATGTAATCATTTCTGTGAGCATAAAAAAAAATTGTACTTGGTTCCATTGGGAAATGTCGATTCAAACCTATTCATTAAGTATTAAGCATAATTCTTTTAGTTAATATTGCTCAAATGCAAATGGACATTAAATATTCTTATTCATAATATAAATCATCATGTACAATGCTATGAATAATCTGAGTTCGTTTGAGTACACATTAGGATGATAAATAATTTTGGTCGTGCAAAATAGAATACGAAAAAAAAATGATGATAAATATTTGTTTAAAAAAAAAGAAAGAAAACTTCTGAGCTTTTCTTCCTTTTTCAATTGTAGCTGTTTAAATGTATTTCTCGTCAAGAACGAGAAAACTCCAGTTTTGCTGTTTTGATTGCCTGGACAAGTTTCTTCTTTATTTTTTTATTAAATTTTGGGCATAAAGTCAGTGCAACACAAAAGAAACTGCCAACATATTCTGCAGCATTTGATAGAATATCAGTATCGTTATGTTGACAATTGATAAATTTGATAAAGAATATTAGATTTCTTACGTATACTACTAGTAGTTCTTTAAAACATGCTTTCTCATGTGATTTAGTCAAATTACAGAACAAAAAAGAAGAGTACATTTAAACGAACGTATTCTGTTAGATGGACGAAAGTAGTCGAAATTTTTGTTCTGAGGGCATATTATGTTATCATGAGCTCTTGGAATGTCTATCTTTCCAACACGCTATATATAGATGCTTTTTTTTGTATTGAATAAACATGATAGTAATTGTTACTCATGGAGAAGTATTTAATGAAGAAAAAATTGTTTCATTCTATACGTACAAAAAATAGACTAAGCACTTTACTAAAACGGACGTCATTTGATTCTGTACAGAATTAAAATTTCAGGTATTTATTATTAAATCCTTTTTTAAAACCTGTTTTTTACGGTAGTTGTACGATTTATTTGCCTTCCTGGTGAAAAAGATTGGTTATTTCTTCTTTCATTCTGGTAAAAACCAATCATCATATGGTATTTTCTAAATAAAAGTAAAAGAAACTTGTAAATAAACCTATCGCAATGCATTTACTATTTCGCTACTAGTTATTGGACTGTTCCGAAATGAAAAATGACTAAACTATATAATATATAAGTAATCAGGTAGTTTGAATCATTCAATTAGATTTGCACAATAATTGTGTTATTGTTATCTGTTATGCAGTGTTCAATAAGTAAACCAATCACATTCATATTTTTTTTTTATAGATGTCCCGACCTTGTGCTATTGATAACTGTAAACGTGTGTCGCGTGCTTTATGCTATTGTTGTCATCAAAATCTTTGTCGAGATCATTTAAATCAACATGATGATATATTAAATAGTAAATTAAACCCATTTACAGATGAAATTAATCAACTGAATGATCGACTTGATCATATTGATGCAAAAAGTATTCTTGAATATTCTTATGAACAATTAGATCAATGGCGTCGTGAATCTTATAGAATGATAGATGAATATATTGATGCGAAAAAAAGTCAACTTAGTCAAAATATTTATTTGAAACTAAACAATATATCTAATGGAATAAATCACTTAAAAACAATAGTTAATAAACTTATTGAAAAACAAGATACAACTATTGACGATCTTAATTCAATATCATGCAATATACAATCTATTCGAAGAGAAATCACTGAAATAGAATATAGATCTATAGATCTTAATATAAATCCATTAGAAATAGATCATAAAATAATACAAGTAGGAGATGAATATGTAAGACATGATTTTAATTTATCTAGTTTAATGCCTCCATTACATATTATTAATCGTTCACAAGAAAGTTCGAAACCTCTTGCTTCAAATAATAAAGTTTTATTAATGCATTGTGAAAATCAACTATGTTTACTTCATCAAGACCTAACAACCGTAAAATCTATACCATGGAATTATACTTGGATATGGGATATGTGTTGGTCATCAACATTATCACGTTTTTTTATAATTACTCTTAATGATATATTTACATTAGATGAAAATAGAATGGTTCTTGAATGTTTACAAACAAAAGATAAATATTCTTTATGTGCATGTACATGTTCAGATAAATCATTTTATGTTGCGACAAATGACCGTGGTTCATATATATGTGAATTTAGTTTATTACCAACTATTGAATTAATTCGTCGATGGCAACCAACAGATTTATGTCGAACAAATGAAACTATTCAAGATATGGTTTTTAATAGAGGAACATTAGCTTTTATTGTTGAAAATCCCACAAGTCAAAAGAAACGTATGGAACTTCGATTTGCACAAACATTTGAACAAATATGGTATATAGAATTTGATTTAATTGATCCTTTACATAATGCATTTCGTTTATGTTCATTTAATTATAACGAATGGTTGATTATTGATTGGAAATCATCACACATGTTTTATATTACAAAAGATGGAGAACTTAAATCAACATATGTATATGATCAAGTACCATATCGTTGTTGTCAATTTGGATCAAATATTTTAGCTATATCAGCTAAAAATAGTATTAATTTTCATAAACTATCAAATCTAAAGGAATAACGAGTTCACTTCAATCTGATAATAATGACTTACGAATTAATCTTATTTTCTATTTTTTTACTAAGTTTGGTTTATTTAGATTTAACTGACATAATATAATTATGTTTTTTTTAGTTTTATCGAATAAATACTTCTAAGTTTGATAATTTCATTTTTTTTCCAATTTAGAAAATCGATGAGGAAATTCATATGAATAATTGCTAATAGGAAGAGGTATCCATAATGTACGGACTCATATTATAAGTAAATAATTTATGACAACAACATAGGTGCCATCGCATGTTTCATTAGTTCCTATGATTGACTACAAAAGAATTCTACGGTCAGTTTGGCATTAATGAAGAGCATATACAATAATGATGGCTTATGGCTATAGTTAAAGTAAATTCAAGGGCAAAAAAAGAATAATATTTTCATTAGTCATGATAAGGAAGGAAACAATTTTATCCCAACTTTCATTAATGTACCGACGTATAAACGACGGAAATGTTATCTCTAATTCTTTTACATACATCTAATAATAAACATCTTGACATACTACTTTTGTTGACTTTTTCCAACGTATCCTGATACATGTGAAATATCCCACCATTAACATGTAAAATATTTGTTTAAGTATCAATAAAATATGAAGAATGATGCCTGTCAACAAGCAATGCTGTGCTCGGTTTTTTCCTCTTTGAATTCGTCAAGAAATAATAATCATATTCGTTCTCTTTTACCAATTTTCACTTTAATTCAATATTTATTTCAATGTTATTAATTGATTTACATTTATATCAGGTGGAAAAGCATAGAAAAGTATATGTTCTAATCTCCATCCCGGCAAATCATCCTCTGTAATGTCACCCATTCGAAGATATGATCGACGTGGTTCACTAACATCTTCTGTACCATAATTTATTCTATTCCAATATCTCCAAATAGGTTTTAATAAACTTGAATTCATTGATGTTTTATATGCATAAAAAATTGTACCATCATATTTCCATTGATTATTTCCAATAGGTATTAATGTAGAATCGATTTGTAATGTATTTGTCCAAATACCTTTTGCTTCTGAATGAAATGCATAAATTGGTATAGTATCAGGTTTTTGTCGAATATATGCTTGACAAAGAATGCTATCTAGTATCCAACCATCACCCATTACACTACCAGCAGTATGATACCAATAACGAGTTTGTTGAGTTTTAGGATCACTATATTTCCATTGTGCGATTTGAACTAAACTATAATGTATAGAAAAAAGAGTGATGTTTTTTTTATTATAAAAATGAAAAAATAGTTTACTGTTTTTTATAAATAGGTAAAGTTTCTTGTAAAGGTTTTAAAGTTGATGAGAGTAGTAAATTGCTATTTGTATTTTCATCAATACATGTTTTATTCGTATCAATTAAAGATGATTCATTTGTTGGAAGATATTTTTCAATTGATTTCGATTCATTCGATGATAAATTTGCAGATAACGATATTGTTTTATTCGAAACATATTTTGAATCCAATGAAAAATATGAATCAGTATTATTGTCAATATCAATTAGAAATGGATCACCAGGTGTTATACTGAATGCACCTGAAGTTCATATTACATATACTATTTTAATAAAAAAATAAATACCTGAAATGATAACGATGACAATAGGTAGAATAAACAGAAAACAAAGATACATAGTTGTTATATGTTCTATAGGTCGCGTAAATAATATAAATGATTGTATGTTTATCTCGTCAAATATATATATATATATATATATATAAATGTACGAATGAATTTTGCGTTCAACTTTTTTTCTTTCTTTAATCTTTCAGTATGGTTAACCCGTTCAATCCCGACATTTTCTTGCGTTCTGCACGAACACGAAAAAAGATAGTTTAATCTCTCTCTCTTGCGTTCAGCTATCCACAATCATATGTGTTTGAAATCTCGATTAATTATTCATAGCTATACGAGGTGATTTACCTTTGAACATATCATATGATGTTCGCCATTTAAGAAGACGAAAAAATGAAAAAATATTTCTTTTTCGTTCTGCATGTCATCTAGTAAATGACATACGAGACTGAAAGGGTTAAGGTAGCAATGACTGATTATCACAATATATGAAATCATTTTAATAGAAGTGAACTTGTTATTTTTTATTCGAAAGAAAAAAACAATATTTATATTCAATATTCAATTGGCAATACATAAAAAAGTATTTTATCAAATGTCCATTCTGATTGATCTTTAACATCATTACTTTCTGTTTTTATCATAATGTATGATATACGTGTTTCAGTTGCATCTGTTGTACCTGGTTTTAATTTATTCCAATATCGTACAATAGGTTGAAGTTCAGTTGAATTCATTGATGTTTTATAAGCATAGAATGAAACACCATCTGGTGTCCATTGATCATAACCAATAATAGGTGGTTTTGGATCCATTTGTATTGTATTAGTCCAAATACCTCGAATTTCTGAATGAAATGCATAGACTGGTTCAGTATTTGATTCTGATTTATTATAAGCTTGAAATATAAATCCATCAAATATCCATCCAAAACCCATATGACCACCTTCTGGTTCATACCAATAACGAATTTCTTTTGATCGTGAATCCATATATTTCCATCGACCAATTTTAACTAAACTTTTAATTGAACAAAACAAAAAACAATATGATAATATTGATGAAGCAATGCCTTACTTCGTTTTACTAAACGATTTTATTGATGATAAAGTTGATGATTCTTGTGATAATATTAATTTTTTGTCGAAATTATTATTTTTATCAATATCGTTATCATGAGATTCGAGGAAAGGTATAGATTTTATAGTTGATTGTGATAATTTCTTGTCAAAAGTTTTTCTTTCACCATCAGTATTATGAATTTTAGTTGTCGGTGTAGATTTTATAGATGTTGATATGATATATTCTAAAAAATTTTCTTCATTTATTGAATCAAATGGATCAGCTAATGATTCTGCATGTAATGGAATTTCATGATTAATTGGATCTCCTATCTCATTAGCATTGAGTAAATCTTCAGATGTAAGAATTTTTGATTTTTGTTGATCGATCGGAAATGGATCACCAGGATGAACACCAAAACAATCTATGATAAAATCAGACAATCAATACAAAAAACAAATTTTAATTAGTTTATTTTTACTTTGTAGAATCAAAGCAAGAATATTAAATAAGAGAAAAAAATACATTGTTGTCTTATGTTATACAGACGACGTATGATGCTAAATAAATCGATTTAGACGAAGATAATGCTACAGTGAATTCTTATAACATATACCTCGATCCTCTCTATTCTCTTCTCTTCGATCATTTTTTATTTCGTTTCTGTTACTTCTTTTCCTTGACCTTGATTAACCTTTCTATTCTTTTCTATTTTTTCCTTGTTTTCTCGTGTGCGTATATAAACACTGTTTTTCTAAAAAGAATAAACAGAGAAAGAAGAAAACACCTCTTTAACTGTGTTCGTCGCTCTTGGTGAGTGCGAACTCTAACATCTGGTGACCCTGGCTCCCTTCTAGCAGTTTACAACTATGGAAGGTTGAACCATTGAGTAATACAACAACTAACAAATCGTGACAGGATTAAAATTGATTTATTTAATACACAAACGGATTTCTTCGTTTCTCGACGATCAAGTGAAACAATTTATATGAAAACAAAATGTCGATAACACGTAAAAAATTTGCTATGTTATCAAGTTGTAACCAATGTGTTATTTGCGGACTCCGAACGAATATATTAATTGCAGGACCTCTCTAATAAAGAGATCCGTTCAAATGATGAATATGTCAAACCAAATGGAATAATTATTTATTGATAGATTAATCTAATTAGATTTAATTTAACATGATCGCGCAGCGTGAGTTTCTCTTACTCACTGATTATAAAGGGCTTTTATAATTAAATTGGAACATATTTTTCTCTATATAATTAATTACTCTGTTATACGAAATCTATTATTGAATATAATTATTGTTCAATTATTGTTATCAGATTCTTACCTTGTGCACTGACAATCGAGAAAGAAACCAACAGTTCGTAATCTATTTTTTGGCATATTAAAGAATCTATGAATTATTTTATTTTTTTCTTGTCACTTAAAACAAACAAAATGATTACATATTATTAGGTTATTTCCATTTAATTATGAATATAAACAAGTTGGTGAAATTAAACAACATAAAACAAAAAATCAACTTTATACGTCGAACAACATCTGGCTGATATTCGTTCATTTTCTCTATATGAACATGATTTTTTATTATCATAATGAACTCTGACTTTTTTCCTTGTGTGCAAGTTTCCTTTTTGCTGTCTATGTCAACACATATTACCGTTAAATATGGGGTATATTTCTGTTAATTTTTCTAGATTGCTAAACATTTTTTTCTTTTTCATATTTCGTTTACATTTGACTTTTCTCATACGCCAACCGTTTATTTCAAAGATTTTCCTTCGTTATAGTTCCTATTTATTTTCATCTGGTATTACTCATTTTTTATGTCATTGCTATTTCTGTTATTTTTTCTCTTTCTAAAAATATTGATAGCACACATTTTTTGTTCGATATGGGAGTATGTTACAGTGTATTATTATGCGGTCAAACAGGCTAGAAAAGTGAGTTAATGTTAACGTTGAATTAACCAATCACATTGCTTAATTCAAGTTTAACGTTAATTCACTTTTCTAATGTGTTTGACCCCTATATATGTACCTCGATCCTCTCTATTCTCTTCTATTCGATCATTTCTTTATTTCGTTCGGTGTTACTTCTATTCTTTGACCTTGATTAACCTTTCTAATCTTTTCCATTTTTTCCTTGCTTTCTCATGTGCGTATATAAACACTGTTTTTCTAAAAAATAAACGGAGAAAGAAGAAAACACATCTTTAACTGTGTTCGCCGCTCTTCGTGAACGCGAACTCTAACAGATAAATTTTATCATTCTTTTCTTTTTCGTTCTATTCATATTGTTTAGTCATTTCGTATCGTTACTACTATCGGAATTTAAAAAGAAGACAGTCAAAAAAAAGCTTATAACTTTTGAACGAAAAGTCGTAGCGACCTGCGAGTCACTGATTTTTTTGCACCTGGACCGATCTTTTTTTCTCCAATATCTGACACCCCCTGTGTACATGAACAAATAAAGGTGCAAGGTTTTAGCTCTTTATTGGCTCCTTTAAAAAAAAGTCAATGTACAATTATTTCTTGTTGTTCATGTGTTCACTATGAAATGGTCGTTAAATTGAAACTTTTCAATTATTGAGAAGTACCCTGTTAACGAAAAAAGCTCGAACATTTGATGATGACCAATTTAGTGATGAGAAAATCATCAACAAACATAGTGAGAGCATTGACGAACAAGAATAATAACGAAAGATTAATTTGTTTTTCTATTAAAGTGTACTAGTCTGTAAGAGTAATGAACAGATGTTATTGACGTGTTGATTATATGTTTTTCATTGTTCATTTGTTTTTTCAACTTGATTTTATTTTTGGCATTTGAAATGACTTTTTTTAATGATACAAATAAAAGGAAACAAGAAATCTTGAAAAATAAGAGAGAAATCAATATTTGTTGACTTCAATTCTTATACATTTAGGTTCATAACTTAATGCAAACCGAGCCTGGAAGGACTCGCAGCTCTCTAATCTGGGCCATCAAAGTATGATGAAATTTGATAGTTCAGTTATTGATCAATCAGGTGAGTTCTTCTTGGAGATCTTGAAAACAACATTCTGAAGCGATTCTCCATCGAACACTCAATTATTATGCAGCAGATCGATAGGAAAAATTCTTCTCTTTTGATCTATGCAAATCTGACCTTTCTAGCCTGTTTCATTCAAGAGTTACAAGGCTTTTCCTCAGAACCCTGATTTTAGCTAATTGGCCTTGACAGATCCTAAAAGAGTTCAGAACAGGGATAATTCATCATCCTGAGTTCAGTAGTAATATTTATTTTCAGTTTCAAAGCTAGCTGACTCACCCTTTTCCAGATTTCGGATATTTCCGATTTTTAGTCTGCATTAGGGAAATTTTGGATTTTGAGAAAATCTTGACAAAGATGTGTCAGCTCGCTTTGAAACTGGAAATAAATATTACTACTGGACTCAGGATGATGAATTACACCTGTTCTGAACTCTTTTGGGGTCTGTCAAGGCCAATTAGCTGAAATCAGCGGTCTCAGGAAAAGCCTTGTAACTCTAGAATGAAACACACTAGAAAGGTCAGGTTTGCATAGATAAAAAGAGAAGAATTTTTTCTATTGATCTGCTACATAATACATGAGTGTTCGATGGAGAATCGCTTCAGAATATCGTTTTCAAAATCTCTACGAAGAACTCACCTGATTGGTCAATAATTGATCTATCAAATTTCGACATGCTTTGATGGCTCCGGATGTTTTTTCTTAAATGGTGAAAACCGTAGGTCGCTAGAACTTTTTGTTCAAAAGTTATAAGCTTTTTTTTCAACTTCCTTCTTTTAAAATTTCGATAGTAGTTGATTTACTATGGTTTTTACTAACGATTGAATAATGGCAGGAAAAATATTTTTAATAATGCACACAAGTCAACTAACAAGTGGCTTATTATGAAATAGTCACAATTTGCATTTCATATTTTAATCTCTAAATAGGTTTTATGTAAAAAATGAAGATACAGAGTGAAAAGTTCTACAATTTAGAAAGTAAAGCTTATTTTGATTGTATATCTTTTGTTTTCAAAATAAGCAAAATTCTGTGCGACTATTTTTTCGATAGTGCGAGCAATATCCTTTATTGATACACAATGTATCCTTTTTTTTATTTCATTGATTAATGAATCATTGTTTTTTGACTTTATCCCATTGTATATGATTAATAATAGCATTCCACACGGAAAAAATCACGTCATGAAGAGTAATACTAGTTGATACAGTCTTGTGGTTTTAAAAAGCTAGAACCATTAAATCATCACATAGATATTAAAATAAACTCTACTGTTTTGATTGCAGAACTTTTCATTCTGCATCTTCGGCCTTTAAATAAAACGTAATTAGAGATTGAAATATGAAATAGCAAATGTGACCATTTGTTATGGTCATCCATTATTTTAAATACAAGTTAAAGTAAAGAAGATGTTGCAGTACTCTTTATGCAACAGAACAATTTTTTCAACAAACTTTCAATGATCGATAGAACAAAATGTTTATTATAAATGAAATGTTTCTGTCAACAATTCTAAATCGTTTTCTTTCGTGAATGTGGTATCATAATGATGGAAAAATCATGAATATATTTTGTTGTTTTCCACGCGTGTAAAATCGAATTTTGACAGTTTTCTTCACATATACATTCTATAGAAAAGAATATGAAACGACTATCTCTCTCTTTCAAAATATTTTTCAATTTTTCTCAGCAAAAAACGTTAAAAAATGAGCCCATGTGACCTTGCATTGACTTCAAAACACGTTTTATAACCATAATCGGCTCCCACTTCCTAAAATCCTCGATTCACGTCTGCTAGATAAATAGATTATTCAAAGGTTTACAAGGAAAATCTATTTATAATTATGAGTAAAAATTTAAAACATAAGACATATTCATAGACTTACTCAACACCTATACATAGCATTTTCTATAGACATCTGTCGTTTTGGTTAATGATTCGTTCTTCAATTCATCGATAGTACTTAACAATTTAGAGTTATGCACTCGAATTGTTATTATATTTCATTAAGATTCTTATTTATAATCAATATATTTTCTTAATTAATATAAAGTTTTTAATTATATATTTTAGAGTTAATTATATGCAAGTTTTTGAAATAGTATGTCATCTATAGTATTACGCCGATTTGTCAGTACATGCCGTCCCACATTAGCTTTTTATCATGGACGTAATTTTGCCACTAGTTCACCATTCTCAGCCGAAACAGACAATATTAGTAGTAGCAACACTGATACGACAACATTTTCATCTGATACGCCACGAACAATTACTCTAATACCAGGTAAATAGAATTTTCTTCAAGATTTAAATAAAAAATATTTTTTCAACCTTAGGTGATGGTATTGGTCCAGAAATCTCAAGAAGTGTTCAACAAATATTTCAAGCTGCTAATGTACCAATAAATTGGGAACCAGTTGATGTTACACCGGTTAAATCGGTATGAAATATGTTTGAAGTTTTTTTTATATTAATTCTTTTGTGGGACGGGTTCATTTAGCCTGATGGAAAATTTCGAATTCCTCTTAAAGCTATTGAATCAGTTACAAAAAATCGTATTGGACTTAAAGGACCATTAGCAACACGTAAGAAAATAATATTTTTCTAAACGAAAAAAAAATAAATTCTGATTCGTTTTTTTCTTCTAGCTATTGGCAAAGGACATCAATCACTTAATCTTGCTTTACGTAAAGAATTTAATTTATTTGCTAATGTACGACCATGTAAAACTATTGAAGGTTCGTTTTAGTTTTTTTTTAAATTCAAAAATAATTTTATTTGAATGTTTAGGTTATCAAACACCATATACAAATGTTGATCTTGTTACTATACGTGAAAATACTGAAGGTGAATATTCAGGTATTGAACATACAATTGTACCCGGTGTTGTACAAAGTATTAAACTTATAACTCAACATGCATCATTACGTGTATGTGAATATGCATTTCTTTATGCTAAACAACATAAAAGAGAAAAAGTAACAGTTGTTCATAAAGCAAATATAATGTAAGAACTTATTATTATTATTATCATCGGAGTAATTTTCTTTTTTTTTTCGAATAAATTTAGGCGTCTTTCAGATGGTTTATTTCTTCGAAGTGCACGTGAAGTTGCTGAAAAATATCCAGAAGTTAAATTCGAAGAAATGTATCTTGATACAGTTTGTTTAAAGGTTTGCTTTTGTTTATTAGAATATATTTGATTAGGAATTTTCCTATTATCGACACCAATATATATAACAGGTCAATGGTTTTTGAATAACTTTCGATAGGAACACCATAGAGATCTGTAGTTTTCACCATTCAAGAGGGAAGGGTCGAAGCCATCGAAATTTGATTGGCCAATAATTGATCAATCAGATGAGTTATTGGTAGAGATCTTCAAAAGTGATATTCTGAAGTCATCTTCTTTTCGATTTAGACTTACAATAGAGCCAGTCCATAGGCAAAATGCTTCTATTTCAGTCTGTGCAAGACCAACATTTCTAATCATCTGTTCTGTTCAAGATTGATAAGGATAATTCCTAACATCCTCCATATCAGTTAATTGAGTTGTGATCATCTGAAAAAACAGCTAGACCGGCGTAATTCACCGTGCAGAGTCGAATGATGATATTTGTTTTTCGAGTCGAACTGATCTAACACTATTATCTGAATATTATCAGAATGTCGACTCTTTCGTTGCATATAGAGGCGGATTGTGAAATTTTAGAAATATTGAGATAACAGTGTCAGATCGATTCGAACCTAAAAACAAATATTACCATTCGACTCAGCGTGATGAATTGCTTCTTCCTAGTTACTTTTCTCGGTGATCACAGATCAATTTACTCAAATCGGGAGTCTCAGGAAAAGTCTTATACCTGTTAAACGGAACAAGTCAGGAATGTCGGCATTATATAAATCAAAAAGGAGATAACTTCAGAATATCGTTTTTGAAAATCTCCAGCAATAACTTACCTGATTGTTCAATTGCTTACCAATCAAATTTCGGTGGCTTTGAGTATTCCCTCAAGAATGATGAAAATCGCAGGTCTCTATAATATTCTTATCGAAAGTTATTCAAGAAACATTGACCTGTTTTTATATTTTGGTGCCGATAATAATTTGTTTATTTTTTTCGTCGAAATATAGATGGTTCAAGATCCAACTCAATTCGATTGTCTTGTGATGCCAAATTTATATGGTGATATTCTAAGTGATCTTTGTGCGGGTCTTATCGGTGGTTTAGGTTTAACACCTAGTGGAAATATTGGTGAAGGTGGAGCAGCAATTTTTGAAGCTGTTCATGGTACGGCACCAGATATTGCTGGACAAGATAAAGCTAATCCAACAGCATTACTTTTAAGTGCTGTTATGATGTTACGTCATTTGCATATGTTTGATAAAGCTCAACTAATTGAAAAAGCGTGTTTTGATACGATTAAAGATGGAAAGGTATGTCATTAAAAAAAGACCTATGATTCTTTCATATTTTGTTTTCCTCTTTTTAATTAAACTCAAATTGAGATTTTTCTAGTAGATAAAAAGAAGTTACTTCTGACTTCATATGAAAATATTTAGAAGTAATGCAAAAGATAAAATCTACTACTACACACTTTATAATGTATTGATATTAAACAAAAAGTGAATGTAAGACAAAAAAAATATTACCAAAAATGTCAACTAAAGCGAAATAGAATGCATTGGGTTTTATAGATCTTGAAGTTTCGAAGTATACTACTCCTCTAGAACAATCCTATACGATAAACTCTTACTGGCGTTTGTTTCCAGTTCATTCATAGTTGATCAGAACCCATATAATAATCCAACCTAAGCCAAATGACGTGTTAGCGATCATCGTTAAGACAGACATATTGAATACGGGAAGCGAATAATAAGTAACATGCAATGAACAACTATAAATCGTAATACATTTGTACTTAATTATCAAGGTTAACTATGATTAATTCAATGCGATAAAAACGAAGTTTCTGAAGAAGTAAAAAAAAAACTACTTAATTTTTTTCAATATAGTTATAATGTGCCTGCGCGTTATAAATATTGATAATATTTATATCCCATATTATACAAGTTATTCTCTACTAAATTAAAATGTAATTCTAAATCATTTTAATTAATAATATTAAGACCGAACTGAGAAATCATCGAATGAGATCGAATAGGAGATAAATCGATTCTTTGTGACTAGGTTTTGTCTTTGTACGAGATTTCCTATATGATGTATCGATTTAATTCAAAATGTGAAGAATAAGTTTATTCATAGCACACTTATACAATTTAAAGTGGTTCATTCATAAAAATATACGCGCTAACTAAATACAAATGCGCTTTTGAGACCTTGTTCGAACGGTTTCAGTTTTAACTGATAGAAAAACATTGATTTTCTTGTCTAATCTAGGTACTCACTGGTGATTTGGGTGGTAAATCAAAATGCTCAGAATATACCGCTGAAATCTGCCGACGTATCAAAGATTCAACATAATTTTATACGAACCATAGTCTAGTCGATTATTTAGCTTTTAGTCATATATGTTTGTGTCTATCAAATTAAAGAATTCTCGTTTTGTTTTTCTAAGTCTGCATAGATAATACTTTACACAAGCAGTTATTTTTGCTCTTCTGTTTCTTTTTTTATTGAAAATTATTTGTTTTGTGTTTTTTGTTTATATTATACTTTTGTGTTGTCTGTCATTGTTCTTTTTTTTCTCAAATCTTTTATTTTCGTTCAAGCAGAATAAAATAACTAAAAGAAAATAAATCTATTTTTATTTTATTTTTTCAGAATACTTATCTATGTTAACATTACGACGAGTATCAACTCTTTATCAATATATACATCCTTTAGCATCATATCAATATCGATTTAAATCGAAACAATCGACAGATGATGAATCAAAACAAAAATCATCTCGTTTAAGTGAAGAACTTTTAAATTTTGAACGAAAAAATTCTAATACTCCTCGAAATATAATTAAAAATAGAAAACATTCAATAAATGATGATAGAATTGAAAAAAAACGATCGATAACTAGTAAAAGTTTTTTTTTATTCGAAGTTGTTTTTTTAATCCAATGGACTCTTTTATTTTTAAAGATGAAACTTTATCGTCAAAAGATGATGGTCATCAAGCTGAAGATCTTCTTCGAAGTTTAAATGTGAAAAATATGAATCGACAAAAAAAATCTGCTAATGAACGTGATCGATCATCATCACATGATAGAGTTAAACCTACTAAATCATTTGATTCAAAAGATAGAAAATCAAAACGTGAAGGAGAACAAAGTGAACAGAAAGAAAAGTAAGTCGTTTTAATCAACTCGTTCAATCTTTAGAAAGAAAAAAGAGTCTCAGCAGGGAACTTTTATTTATAAGAATAATTGAATTCTTCTTAAATCAAGAGTGTGGCGGTTAAATTATCACAACAATTTTTGCCATATATATTCGGTACAAGGTGTATTTTCAATTATGTTTTCAAGATGATAAATAATTGAAAAAAATGATTTGAAATAAAAATATAATAGATATTTTAAGGACCCTAAGACTTTATTTTATGATCAGTATTATTTCTTCTCCGCATTGATTAAATCTAATTGTGCTGTTTGAGATAGTTACTATTTCGTTATGGTCTTTCATTCATTTTTGGTCAAGCGTTAATGTCGATAAGATAGATTTTGAAAGCGATTGAGATCCTTTCGATCAAATTCAGAGACGTTCACAGAGAAGAAAAGCACAATACACATGTAGGCAACTATTTCGCTAAAAATAAAAATCGTGCTTTTTCAAGGTTTAAATACAGAAAAATATACTTCGAAATATAGTCTATCTAATGGCATAAATAACTATGTTACAACCCTCAAAAGAACTGAAAAGTCAGTTGCCCAAAAATTAGCTTGAAAATCATTATATCATCGAGAAAATTGATATCTGACAAAATTAAGTTGTTCAACAAACAAATTAAGTACATTTTCTGAATTTTCAAGACGAACTCTATACAATGTAAAAAAAAATTTTTAATTACACGTATAATTTTTGAGAAAAAAATTTTTTTTTTCTACGATCTTGTCCGAACAGCTAGCCTCGTAAAATGAGCAATCCAACCTCCAAAATTTTCCCGTCTCTTCCAAGGAAAAATTTGCATTATCAATTTACAATATTTGTGTTTGTACTGACATTTATGTTAAATAATCAATGTGAACTATGAGATTATGACAACAATTTGTTTGTTATAATTAATGTCAACTATACGTATAATGCATATAATCACAAGCATTTTCTTCTATTTCATGAATCATATATAATAGTATCGATGAAGTATTTTCTCAGCAAACATTTATCACGAATAATGAATATAATTATAAATTTTCTTCTTTTCATTTTTCTGTGTACAAAACAATTATCATATATGAATAAAGATGAATATAAATAATTTTTGTCGCATCTATCCTACTCGACTAAAAGTCTTATCAAAACTAGATGGAAAAAAATCAAATCTCTCTCCGAAGTAAAAATTCTGTTAACGTGCCTGATCAAATTCAGTTTAATTCTAAAACAATCACCTCTGTGACTAACATTTGTTATTCACCTGGGGTTCGTGCGAACTACAAATTGACAAAATAAATATCATATACGAAGTTGTAGCTAGTTTATCATGAGCATATGAAAGCTCGAGAAAAGACTTCATTACAAGAATTACAGACAGAACAGCAGTTAGTATGAACGATATTTATCTAGTCTTTTTCCTTGATCTTATCATTTTCTACGTTCGAGACGTATGAAATCATGCAGCTCTTATTTCGTATTTACATATACTTTGAATTGCTCTACATAAAAAGAATAATTGTGTACAATTAACTGATGTTATCAATGTACTGTACTAAGTAATTCTAACGCATACCTAAAACAGACATGGATCAATTAAGTTTTATGAATGTTTAGAATAACAATGAATCTTACTGAGAGCAGGACGAATCTTTGATAGTCAACAAGAGTTCACATGTAATTCCGGATGTTCGACTCACATAAATAATAATTGGATATAACTGACAGATACTAAAAGCATAGTCTATAAGCCTTCACTAGAGTATATCTAGGAAAAAAGCAGTCAGATTCGATATTGTGTCCTTATAATAGAATGATAAAAATTGCCTGTCGTCCACGCGGACCCCAGGTGGTCTTGTCAAGGTTAAATAAAACCAAGAATATTTGTGACTTTAGTTGAAACCTATCAATTGAACTTTGTTTTTTTTTGTATGCAAACTCTTTAAAAATTCAATTCATTTTAATATATCTTTAAACTCAATCATTCGAATATTATTATCGGTTTTTTTCTGCATTGAATAGAAAAGTTCGTGCACCAGTTATTCTTGATACTGAATCAAGTGAAGTAAAAACTTTAACACGTCAAGTTGCTGATTCTTTAACACCAGCTAATTCATCAAATGAAAGTAGTAATATAGAACAAGAACTACTTGATGTTTTACGTGGCCATCGAATTGTTAGTAAAAGTGCACGACGAATAGAAAATAAATCCGAACATCGTAAAGAGCACTTTGATCTAAAACAACATGATGAATATGAAAGATCATCAAAGAAAAAACAAACTCGTACAACATCAAATGTTAATGTTGAAAAAACAACCGAAGCTTTTTCGTAAGTTATTAAATTCTTCTTTAAATTTAAGATTTAAAATTTTTCTCCCTATAATAGATCATTATTGCGTGATTTTCAATTGAAACCAGCTCGTACTACACCTAAATCAACACTTGAAGATGATTTTATTCAAGATGGTATCTATATTGACAAATAAAAGTATAGAGCAGTTGTATTTTTGAGTTTTCTTCTCGGCAATAACAGCTAGTAAGAATCTGAAATAACATTTGAATAGTTGAAAGGGTCCTCTCTCAGGATTGATGAACTAAAAAGCTCCAATAAAACTGCTTGGATAAGAATATCTGAAAAACCAAGACCTCGAAAAATCAAATGTCTCGAATCTAGAGCCAGCCCATTGGGCTGGTCTCGGACACGATCGGCTCTGTTCATCGAACTCCATTAAATTTACAGAACACCTGCGAAGCTTTTTTATTTTGTTTTAGAGATCCTCATTCAAGCAATTTCATTGGAGTTCTTAGATCCATGACCTCTGATACAAAATTCTTTTAGTTATTCAAATATTTTTTTAGATTCTACCTGGCTATTGCCATAGAGAAGAAAACTCAAAAATATAACTACTCTAAAATCATGTCGGCCACTGAATATATTTAAAATAAGATATTCAATTCGATTCTTTATTATTTAGATGAAGCTATGAAAAGACCACGTTTTAATGATCAGCGTGAACAAAAACGTGATAGTAGTGAAACACGAAAATCAATTCGTGATAACAAACGTCGACAAGAATTTCTCAGGTAAATAAAATTTTATCAAGACTTCAATTAATTTATCCTTTTTTTTTTTTCTTTCCTCAAAGGCCACATCAGTTATGGAGTGGTGAACCATTAGGAATTTTTACAACGAAAGATGTTAATGGTTTGTTTTTTTTTTATAATAAAAAAGCAAAATCAAATACTAATAAAACAAACAAAAATTGTTTTTGTTCATAGAAATAGCTTCAAAAATTTCTCCTATATGGGAAAAATATGAACAAGATGAATTAACACGAATATCTTCAATACCACCACGAAATGCTTTTGAAGAAATGATTCAATGGACGAAAGATGGTATTCTTTGGAAATTTCCTATTAATAATGAACAAGGTATATTTTGTTTTTTTATTTTTATTTATCAAAAACAATTCTATGATGTGTTTATTTTTAATGATTTCATTGTTTTTGATAGATATTGGTTCTGAAGCAGATGTTCCATTTTATGAACATGTTTTATTAGAACGTCATTTACATGATTTTCCGAATTCACCACTTATTCGCCAATTTATGGAACTTGTTTGTGTTGGTCTTGGTCGAAATCCTTATTGGACGGTTGAACAAAAAATTGAACATATCAATTGGTTTCGAACATATTTTAATGAAAAAATGCATATTTTTAATGAAACAGTTCATACAGGTGCAATTAAAACATCAACAACAACAACACCATCTGTTACAAAACCTGTTTCAACTTATAAACCAAAACCGACACCACCACCGGCACCACCTAAAGTTGTTCCTGTCGTTGCTCCAACACCTGTTAAAGCATCGACGGCGAGTAAAAACTAAATCTTGTATTGTTGATTTATTTAGTAGAATTAAAAATATGTTGATGAACTTTTGTTTCACATTCTTTAAATTGTGTTGTATAAAGAAGACAATGAAGTGTTCGTATACGATATGGATCTACATGAGTTTTATACAGTTGAGGAAGATAATAAGGATATCGATCAGGTGTACTAAAACCAAATGTTATTTCATTTGTAAATGTATGAAGGAATGATTGTTTATTATGATAAAAGAATTTTTCAAGGTGAGAATGAAAATGATTATTTTTTGTTAATGTTACATTTAAATAAGCATTTAAGAGAAAGCCTAAATAGATGTCATCGTGATAATTTTCATTTATACAACCATCAACAAATTGTGATACACTTTGTGTATAAGGCTCGAGAAGATTAATTGTACGTTTTGATAGACATACACCAGCACCTAATGTAGCAAACCAAAATGGATATGGATATGGTTCTTTTGATCGTTTTACAGTATCAGACCATGAGGTACGTCCGATATAATAAGGTTGATTGGAGTCGAGAGTAGATAAATATTGCTTAAGATTATTAACATTGACATATTGATCATCATCAAAATGACAAAACCAATCATACTCTGATACATAACGATGAAAAACAATAAAATCATGTGCTGTCTTACAACATAAAATATTCATTGAATGAGCATCAGGTCCGCATGCTTTTTTTGTTAGAATCATATGATTTTCAGATATATTTGGTAAAAATATATCCGTAACAAAAAAGACATCATCATTTACTAATGATATCCATGTTTGTAGAAGATAAATTAAACGCTTTTGATAAAAATGTGAACTTGTTCGAATAACATATAATATTCGAATAGAATTCGGTGTTTGATTAATTATATCAGAATTTTTTCTTTGGAATAATAAGTTAAAATAAATAAATATAGAACATAGTAGAATGATTAATAGATACTTTCGATATGAAGAAAAATTTAATAAAAACATTCGCCAATGATAACGACGAACATTATAACAGCATGAACAGGAACTAACTTCAGGGCATTGTCCTAAAATAAATAAATGTCTTTTATCATCACATCGCAGCTGGAAACATAAATAGATTATCCTTTTATCTCTTATGATATTTTTCTCATTTTCTCTTTCTGGATAGATTACCCAATGTATTTGTTCGTAATAATTGTTGTCTGGATGGATGTGTACGTGGAAGAAACATATATACTAATGAATAGTAGACAATCAATATAGCACTCTGTTGGTTGCCTTCTTTCGATTTTTTCTACATCATATGAAATTTCTTTAAAAAATAAGAGAGAAGCACTATTGTGTATTTATAGAAGGAACGAAAGAAAACATATAGTTGTAAGAAATTTTAAGTTTCAGCATGATTTACTCTCCGATGATTTACGAAGAAAAAGCTCAATATAGAAATTATATTACGATAATCAATATATAATTGAAAAAAATAAGATTAGATAAAATAAAATTTTTCAAATAAAACAAAAATATCTAACATGAAAATTCCCGTAAATTAATCTCAGATAAGCAAATTTTTCGTTCAAATTTATTATAAGAAATTATTTTAACACAAATTCAAATACCCAAACATAAATGCTATTTTTATTCAAGGACAAACTAACCATTTATATTTCTTCTTTTTTTGGTTTCCCATCGCAATGTATTAAAACGAATATATTCTGACTATATTACCAGTGCATGTGTAATAAGAAAAAAAAAACAATACTATGGACAAGAAAAATTTGTTTCCTTAAGAATATTTTCGTTTCGATCAGACTAAAATAAGAAAGAAAATGTAAGATTCTGGCTTACAAAAGAAAATATTCTAACGATTATTATAATAATCCATTTGATCTTCTATCGTATTTCATTTGATTAAATGTACATTGTGCTTTCAGGATACCTAAGAGAAGATCCTATTAGAAAATTAAATTAAAATCGCATTTCTAAGCACATAAGAAACTAAAGGTTTTTATCTCACACAAGTAACTGAAAATCAATTTAAAACAAAAATAGAAAGTGAAGTTTCCCAATTCCAAATTTTTATTCATTATATAATGATTTGCTTTTTTTTATCTTTATATTATATATTGAATAATAAATGTTTATAGCTTATATTTCAAAAACAAAATTGATACAAAATTATCGCGAAACTAATCGATGACGTTACACATGGCCGCATTTTTTTGTACTTTTTGCTTTTCGAAAAAATAAGTTACAATTGATGCATCATACACTTATGAGTCATATGCTCATATAAATAGATGTGATATTTATTGTAGATTAAATCAAAATGAAATTTCTATGGTATTTTTTTCTTACTATACAAATCGGAATTAAAGCTGAATCATTGTCTTTATCATTTATTAATATTATTCCAAGTATTATTGCAAATGGTCGATTTGTTAAAGATAATATCATTAATTCAGATGCCATAATTCATCCGACATTACCATCAATAAATATCGATCTTATATTTAATGTAAATGGATCGAATTGTAGTCGAGATATTCAATTATTATCTCATGATTTAATTAATCTACAAGCATGGGCATTAAAGAGTAAATCTTAATATTTCTTTTTATTTTGTTTAATTTTTATTGTTTCAATGAAAATTTTTTATCTATTTATTTTAGCATTTGATGCTTGGGGAAAATTACCCAGTGGATTAATGCAAGGAAATATCTATTGGATTGGTTCAGTGTTTGAATGTCAACATTATTTACGTGGTTTAAATGATAGTATCATCACACAACCATTTAAAACACGTACATGTACAATTGGCAATGGATTATCAAATACAATTCGACCAGTTTATGGTATTTGTGTACCTCAAAGTTGTAATGCAAATGATATTGTTGATTTTATTAATCAACGTATGTAAACGAGTTTTAATATCAAATAGATAAATGATTTATTTAATTGATATCGTATTCGAATAGAATTTCAATAGTTAGTTTAAAATTTCATGATGGTGAACATCAATTTATGAAAATGCAGATGTATAATATGTAGAAATATGCAATGCAAATATCTTTGAAAAAGCGTCAATTCTGTTATAATATATTGCCGACATTTTAATCAATCAATTCTTTTTTGTTAGAAAGAGTAATGCTTGAACGATAAGTTTTGACGTTAACATATTTTTTCAGAAACAATCTGACGAGGAAGAAAAGCCCAAAACTAAACATCTTCCTAAAAAGTTTTTCTAACATCACTATTGACCTATGATATTTTTTTATATCTGAAGATAAAGAGAGAAAACAAACACGTTGAATGTTGATTTTTTCTAGCATAAAAATTGACACTTTTTCAATAGTGCATTGGAAGATAAATTTACTTTTGGTTTTTACACTAAAATATAGCTTTTCTAAAAAGGACTGAATAAGCTGATTGTTCTTACCATTTGGCAGTTTTATAATAGTAAAAAAAAAAGGTTTTTTTGAATTATTTTCTCTGTTAAACTTTTTTGATCTGAAATATTGCAAATACATAATGTAGAAAGAATTTCGTTCATGCATAATTTCTGGTTTTGATTAAAGAGTCAAGAACAGATTTTGCCAAAGCTAGTATCGACAGAGTTCTTGGTATGTTACATGTTAGTGTATATTTATTAGAATTTGATCTATCCACGTAGCAACTTTAATCAACTATATTGATTTACGAGGAATTTAATCAATAAAATTAACAATCTTATGTAACCAATGAAATTCAACAAGTGAAGAAAATAGTAAAAACCAGGCATAATCCAAATCATAAAAGAAAAGCCTTAATCTTTAGTCAATGTTTAACACTAGAGAAGAATACTAACATAAACTGACCATTAGATTTTCATATGCAATTAAAAATTATTATTAATATTTCTATGTGAAATACTGAAATTATTCAACGATTAATTCTTGTTAACAAATCATTTCATTAATATTTAGGTGTCATACGAATTCCATTTATCAAACATTTAATAAATATAACAAATATCGATATTCATTGTATTGAACATCGTCAACTTGATATAGCAGCTATATTAACTATGTAAAAATTAAAAAACAAAACAATTTAATCTGTAATTTTTTTTTTCACAATCTAGTGTTCTTATATCAGTCATTATATTTCTTATTCTTCTTGCTACTGGATTACATATTATTTATGGACATGAACATGATTTAAAAATGGATGATGAACATCCAACAGTTGAATCTGCACCATTATTAAGTCGAACAACAACAACTCATTTACCATCTGAAATAAATCCAATTGATGAACGTGATCAATCAACATCATCTGATGAATTAACACCATTGGTTTCAAAATCTCAACGAAATGTTGATTCTGGTAAGAACAAAAAAAAAACTTATTTTTATTAAGCTTTGTTTTTTGTTTATTTGATTATTTTATAGTTGCACGAAACTTAATAAGTTGTTGTTCATTACTAAATAATTATCATATATTAAAAAGTGATAGCTATCCAAAAAATTTAGCATGTCTTAATGGTATTCGGGTACTTTCACTTTGTTGGATTATTCTTGGTCATACATTTATTTTTGCTGTTTATTATTCTGGTAAGTATCGAAAAATCAATCGAGAAAATACAAATCTTATTTTCTTCTTTAAAAAAAAAGAAAAACTTTAATGTATTTGTAAGTAAATCTAGCTCATTGCGATTTAGCTCCTCTCAATATTAATTTGATCTATTCATAATTTCAAGACAAAAGAGGAAAAAACATTTTTCTATTTAGATAATTTAATGACGATTTTTAATTGGTCTCGTAAACTTTGGTTTCAAATAATTGTACAAACATTTTTTAGTATTGATTCATTTTTTCTCTTAAGGTAAATTTTTTTTTATTGAAGATACCGATAGAAAAAGAATTTAACAACAACATATTATTGTCTTTTATTTATATAATGTTAAGTACCTAGCTCAAATCCAGATAGTGGTTTTAATAACCAATAAAGTTTTCTATCTAATGCATTCTATACTAGATGCCCTCTGATGGCAAGGTTTCTAAAAAATCGGACACGATATCTTTCAACATCAAGAAGATTATTTTTTAACAATGCCGTTTTAAAGAGCACAAAATTCTGAACAAGATGGAGGATTGACTCATTTTCTAAACCTTCCCTAAAATGTAAAAAGCAGAAAAACGAAATTTATGAAAAATACTGCTAGAAACGCTCTTTTCAGGTTTTGTGATACTTTTAACTTTCTAAAGGAAAGTTGCAGAATAAAATCACTGTTTGTGACTTTTTGAAACCTTGTTAACATAGTTCCTTTATTATAGAATACATTAGATAGAAAACTCTATTGGGTATTAAAATCACTCTCTAGTTTTGAGCTATATGCTTAATATTATTATAGAAAAAAAAAGACAAAAATACCTTGTTGTTAAACTTTTTTTTCAATCATTATTTATATTTGTTTTGTTTTAGTGGCTTATTGACGGCATTTACATATTTTGTATCGAAAACTGAAAATGAAAAATTTTCAATTATAAAATTTTTTCTTAATCATTATGTTCATCATTATTTAAGGTAAAAAAAATATTTAAAGTCTTTTTCATAATGATTTTATTTTGTTATTAAACATATAGATATACACCATTATATGCAATTATTTTACTTATTTATATAACTCTTTCACCATATATGGGTCAAGATGGTCCTGTTTATCCAATTGATGGTATTGAAACAGCATC